TACTTTTAGATGGCTTTAAAAGGCAAGTGCAGTTTTGTCCTTTTTCCTTGTAACTTTTCTTCTCTCTAACTTGCTGAGAGAGACTGCAGGGACTTCTCACCCTTGGGTGAAAAGACAAAATGTTTTGGTGTTTGGTGGGTGAACTGAGAATAAAGCGCATATAAAGTCACGTAGGCCAGAAAGTCAGTGTTTGCAGCAAGTGGTTTTGAGGGTGAGCCAGGAAGCGCTTGCTGGTACCTCAATTTTCTGTGGCATAAACTCATTGAGCTCTCAGGCAGGAGTCCTGAAGAGCTGGATTTCTGCTCTGTGCAATGTTATTCTTGTCTTTTTCTCACCGTTAGAAGAAAAGAGGATGCCTGTTTGTTGTACACTTCAGTGGGTAAGCAGGGGAAGGTAATAGCACATGCTTGAAGCATTGCTCTTGTCTGAGCTCGTCTGCATTGGAGAGGTGCGTGGGATACAATTGAGACAGCCTTTCTGAAGGCTGGGCGTCAAAGGCCAACAGCTGCTGCATAAGAGGAGTCCAGGTCATGTGGTTTGGGTTGCAGTTGCCTGTCCTGGGGACAAATGATGTTGAAATAACTTGTCATAAACAATTTTTTCTCGTTCATTTACTCTGATTCGGAACGCATAGCCGATCCTGATAAGAGTCATTCAGGAGTGAAGAGTTGAACTGCCAGAGAAAGCAGCTTATGTGAGCGTTTTAGATCAGGAATGTGCCAACAGTGTGCTAACAATAAGAAACCTCTTCCGAGGGGGACCTGCTCCTGTACTTCAGGAGAAAGGGGACGCCGGAGGTCTGATGCAGCTTGTTTGCTGAAGTGCCAGAATGGCTGGATAGGATTGCTGAAATGGGAGTTAGGTGCTTAAACATGAATTAGTTGTTTAAATATCTTTATAGACATGTGTGTCTAAGCGCAAATAATCCATAGGATGAATGAAGGAAAGCACTGTGGTCTCAAAGGAATTCCCTCCTCATATTAAAATTGCCAGCCTGAAGAGATGGCTTTCTGATACACTACTTAAGATATTCTTTCCCTTCTTCTCAATCTCCATGCAGTGCTTTGGGCTAGCTGAGGATTTTTGGGTGTGGTGCTGGTGTGTGATTGCTTCCCTGAAATTTCATTGAAGGGACCTGTGTGAAAAGAATGGGAAGTGCTTTCCAGCTGGTCCCCAAAGCAGCCCAGGCTCTTCATTTCAGACTAAATCATGTTTTAATATAATTTTCCCTAGCTTTGAGTAGACTGAAAAGGAAGGCTGCTTGTAGGAATCCCTAGTGAAATTTTGATCTCCTCATGGACACTTAGTCAGTTTTTCCTCTTGTAATACCCTAGGCTGAGGTCATGCTTGCAGGGCTGGTGGGTTTTGGGGTGGGTTTTTTTGTTTGTTTGTTTTTCCCTAGAGTTGAAAGTAGTTACCTAAGCAGAGAACCATCCCCTTTTCTAGTTCAAATGCTGAGAAATGTTTCTTGCTAGGAAATATACTTGGAGAAACATGTCTATAAGCAAATCTCAAGTGTCTAACTGGTTATGGTTTCCTCGCTTGTAATGCTTGAACCTGAATCTGGCAGAGCAAGAACCAGAGAGCTGAAAATCAGATCTGCTTTTTTTGGAAAGCTTTCATAAAAGTTCAAGTATGTACTTCCAAACATTCAATGTTTACTTTACATAGCCTTGTTTTGGCAAAGGAATTGTTAAAGTTATAATTGATTTTACTGCCCTTTCTGAGGTTCTTAGATGTTTTCAGGAGAGCATAGCATTGCTTTTACAGTTAGGTGCCAAAAAAGATCAAGGCTTTATGTAGTGTCTCTTTCATGAAGTTTTAACTTGCTGGGCAGAACAACTCCCTTTAAAGACTATGGTCCTACCTTACCAAAGTATTGTGAAGAGAGCGTTATTCAGTTCCTGCTGTTCTGTGCTTTAGATTAAACTTGAGCTCTGGTAGTAAAAGCTGGCACAGAGTGCACCTCGCAGTTGTAGTTATTGATCTGAAAGGGCTGGCAGGTTGGTTCTGGACACTGCCACATTCAGGATATAAGGCTATGAAAACCTTTCAGGGAGATAGCTTCTGAACTAACTTCACTGAGCTCAACAGGATTGAGTTGAAAGAAAAGGGTTGATCTTTGACTTACTGACTTGTTTGCAAAATTTTTACTTGGTTAAAAACTTCCAAGTAGCTTTAGTGCCACTTCCAGATGGCTGATACTTCAGCCAATGAGAGTAATCTGCTTCAAGACAGGATATAACAAGAATAGCTACAGTATGAGTGTTTTTCTGTGCTCCCAATCTTTCTGTTGAAGCAAGCACCACTACTGAGATTGAGTTCTGCTTTGAAAAGGGAGCTGGTGACCCCTGTTAAGTCCTCAATGCCTGCAAATGCTGCTGGTAAGAAGAGGTCATTGTAGTAATCAAGTGAATACTCCTCAGATGCAGACAATTAGCAGTGTGATTGGTGTTTCACTGAAATCTAGATCTTTCGGATAGTAGTCCTTTAGTGGGTAAGTCTTGCACTAAAAATACTTTCTTCTCATTCAGTATATTTTAAAAAATTTTTTCAATAACACAGCACCAACTATCCAGTCTGAAACAGTTTTACAGCATACACAGTCAGTTTCAGAGAGCTTAATGTAAAATGCTGTGTTACCATAAAAGCTAGAGTCTCTGAATATCAGGCCAGTTATCTGGAATAACTGGCCAGAGTTGCTGTGTAATCAACAGTATGTGCCTAAGTTAAGTCCTAATTATGACAAGCCATTTTGTGATCTTCATGTAAGTTGGGGATTTCAGTTAGACTGCAGGGGAATCTAATCTTTAACCACAGCAAGATTCACAACTTTAACTGAAAGAAAAAAATGAAACTCCCCCCTCTTGTAAAGAAAATGTCTATTTGTTTTCCCGAAAACGGATTAATGGGGAGTGTGATATCCTATGTATCCTCTGCTAGCAAGTTTGTCTTCATCATCTCATTCCACCTGTGCATCTACGTATGTCTGCTGAAGTCCCATTTTTCTTACTAACCAAGGTGCAGCTTTTCCATCCTGGGGCTCACTGGACTGAAGGAGGCTGGAGGAATTGACCAGATCATGATGGTGCTGACTTCTATAGAAAGGATCAGTTTTGGGGAAGAAGAGTTTGAGCGTTGATCCCTAGTAGTCTTACTATATTTAATGTTGTCCAAGTGCTTGTAACCAGACAAGTGCTCTATAAAGCACACTTAAATAAACGTTGATGAAAGCATGTCTTATGATCGTCTGCATTTCCATGAGCTATTGAGAGGTGACACAATTGTAATGTCACACCAGGATATTATCTGACAAGTTGGGGGAGTTGTTCTTAAGCCAAAAAGGTTGAATCATCATGTTCCTTTTAACCTCTCACAAGTTAGTGGCATTGGCCCGATTTGAACTGGTGGCTGAAAGGTAAGAGACTGCGTAATGATTCCCAAAGTTCCTTTTTTTAGTTGCAGTTTTGCTTTAGTTCACAGCAAAACTGTTGCACTTCAATGTTGTTCTCTGTGGTCTTAACTGTTTAAAACAAAAAACCCTGCATTATTCTTCCTCCTTTGCTTCCTCACCAAAATTTGTCACAGTTAACGTGCTTTCTGATAAGTGTTTTACTTTAATACTTAGGGCTTTTCAATAGAAACCATGATAAAATGGAATTTCACTACCCTTAGAATCAGGAGGGTTTGGATTTTATTTTTTTTTTAAAGTAAAATAATTGAGTTATGTTGGTAGATAGAAAAGCAGCAGCTTGTCTAAGGATTCAGGAGTCACTGGCTTTTTTCTCCCCTGCCTCAAAGAAGCTCATGTGACAGGTAAGTGCAATACTGGATCACCAAGAATATAAATGCCAGTGTTCCTGTGACACTATTAGCCATTAGACTTGTTAACTTTTATTAGGAATAAAATGTAGGTTTCAGCAAGTTGAGCCAAGTGGATAATATAATACTTGTATAATCCTGAGACCAGAAATATTTAAGTTACTTTTAATACACTCTTCTTTGCCTGTGTACTGGCTGTATTGTGGTTACCTTCACCTGCTTTTTAATGCTTTTTCTCCTAAATCCTTGTCAGGACTCCTATTACCTTGATTCCTTGTGTTGGGGTTTTTTTGTTTGGGTTTTTTTTTTGTTTTGTGTGGGGCAGGGGTTTTTTTTGGTCACTTTCCCTAGTTCTGGCTATTCTTTTCTATATTTCTTTTTCATTCCCAAAGCTTCCATTGATCATCTTGAACAGTTTAGGAAGCTCGTTAGTTGTTCTTTCTCCAGCTCAATAGCCCAGTGCATTTGCCTTCTTGTATTGCAGCTTTAGAGAGGTTACTTGCTGTCCAAAGCAGCAAGTAGAGAAGAGTGCCCTTTTTTCTTCTTTGGTTGAGAGGCTTTACAGGTATTCTGAGAACAAGACAGGAGAGTTTTTAAATTTGTTTATCTTATGAGTTTTTCCTGTCTTTGCCAAGCAAACTTCTCATGTTGCAGAAATGCAATTTGTATTCGGGCAAAGAGCTGCAAAAGATCCAGCTAACCTGGTTGTACATTTGTACTATGCAGGTGATTGGTATGAGGCTGTATGTGTAGTAGGATGTTACAGAGGTGGCGGAAGGTGGGGCAGGGTCTATATAATGTGATCACACAATTCCAGGAGTACTAGGAAAATGCAACTGTATCTGCCAATTAATTAAAGCCTGAATTTAGGCAGCAGTCGCTCTGTGGTGTTTACAGAGTGTTCTTACAATAGGATTTGTTTCAGAAGGCTCCAGAAGGCTGTTTTGAAGATCATAAGAAAGTGAACTTCACAAACCATTGCTTTTAAAAATATATACATATGTGTGTGTATGTACATTTAAAAGCAACCCTGACCTTCTCACCAGCCTTCTGAAACTAAGCTATTGCAGGCCTCTTTCCTCTGAGATTAAGGTTGCTGTAGATTCTTAAAGAGAAAATGAATCCTAATGAATCAAGTCTAATTGAATGTCTCTTTAAAACTATTTTTATTTTAACAGAGCTATCTGAAATTGAACCCAACATCTTCCTTCGGCCTTTCCTGGAAGTAATCCGTTCTGAAGACACTACAGGCCCCATAACTGGATTGGCCCTCACCTCTGTGAATAAGTTCCTCTCATATGCGCTAATAGGTATGTGATGTGGCTTCCTGGGATTTGCCAAAATGCCAGCCAAATGCATCTCCTTGAGATGTGTCTTTGGCCAGGATACGTGCTTGCAGTCTTAATGAGGAGATTGGGGAAATAAGAAAATTGTCATTAATGCTGGGGAAATAGGCATCCGCAGTTTCTTAACGTCATACCTGCTGGTCTTTCATGGCACTACGGCAATGGCTGGAAACGGAGCCAGAGCTTCTAGTCTGCCCTGACTGCTGCATGTGGGTATGGCCCGCTGCTGAACTGTGGTGGTCACCAACTGCTTTTTAATGCCGTCTGAGCAAAAGGGCCAGGGCGGGGAGAATACCAGCTTGGGTTACAATGTTGTAATATACATAAACACAGTAGAATTTATTTAGTTCTGTGGACTAGTATTTCTGCTCTAGAGTGAGGATTTTTTTTTTGCCCGGTCCCAGACCCTGTCCAGTGGTGTGCCAGTACTATTCACTTGTCACAATTGTCATGGCAGAGACAGTTTTGCTGCTGCCCAGACTTTCAAATGTGTGCATTCTCCTTTATATTTGTGAAAGACTAATAATGCGCATGTGGTCAGTTCCCATGGCTCAGCTGGCTTGTAGTAACTCATTAGCTGGCTTTCTGTCTGCCTTCAATGGGTCATCCTGTTGTTAGTGGTGCTTGATTTTTCTATGTAAAGTCCGTTAGTACTTTCTGATCGTACCTGTGTGAATTACAAAACTTGTTATCTATTTTTGTTTATACGTAGTCTTACTTGGAGAAAACTATCTTACCTGTCCTCCTCCCCCCCAGGGTTCAGATTTCTCAGTTCTTTTCCTCCCTTATGTTGTAAGTGAACACTGTCGAATTTTTGGCACTGTTGTTTTAAATATTTTGTTCTTTGGAGTTAGCATGAGGGAAGTTAGAGAAAGAAAGGACTTGATGTAGATGCAGACCACTCTTGTGGGAAAGACCTAAAATTAAAATGAGCAAAAGTGGGGACTTGCAGGAAAAAAAATTTTTTAAGAGTTTGATGGAAATTTAGTGTCTTGATAAGACATCAATTAGTGGGCAGTATTGGGTATAATTAAGTGGCAAAAAATAACTAAAATGATGCAATATTGATTTCACTCCATAGGACGATAAGGAAATCGTAAGAAATAAGCCTGTAAAGCATGTCCCTCTGAAGGACTAAGCAATAATGAGGAATATGTTAGTTTCAACGTAGAATGAGGGATGGACTCTCTTTCTGGGCTTTTATGGTCTGGGTGGGATCAGAACATCAGGCTGATATCGCATGTCCAGGCAAATGTCTGCACAGGCAGTGTCTGCAAACTGGCCACAAATACTTGATTTGAGGCAGAAACAAGAAAAAATGTGGTTAAGAATTTGTAACCTTTCTCTAGCTACTCGTTATTTAGAATACTAACTGGGTCACTCCAGCAAGGGCGCATCCCTGTAACTGTTGGTAAGCGTGTCTTTGTAGTAGAGAGTGGAAAAGACCCTCTACCTGGCTTTTGTTGTGGAGCAGAACCTGTAATCTAAGACCTCTGTTGCTGCTTCAGGTGACATTCACAGCGGCCTTGTCCTTTGTGCTGCTCCAGATACCAGTGAGGCTGGGATTAGTGGTGCTGACTGAACATCTGGCTAGGGTTGTGTTGTTAAATTAAAGCTTTTTGGTCTTATATTTCTCTTCGTAATATAAGACTAAAGGTAGTCTAAAGACTGTTTGCCTAAAGATAGGAAAAGCTTAGAACTGTCCTTAACATACGAATCTGTTTTAAACTGTACAGAACAAGGAAGGATGGACTCCGGCATAACCACAGTGGGGAAATCTCAGTGTGGGTGATATTTGTGGTGCATTTTGGGGCTGCATAACTGACAGGTGAAACCAGCACTTTTTTCAAAAGCATCATTAGCTGTGCCTGTTCTGTGAGTGGATGGCTTTTGCTCTATGCACTGGGTCAAAAACCGGTGGGCAGTGAAAGGGCCAAACTCCTCTGATAACTATCTTTGTTAAAAACTGCTTTCTTTTCCTATTTCCAAAGCATTTCATTGCTAATCCTCGTGCCCTCTCACTGTTTCTCTTGTTCTGTCACATGTCAGCAGGTGGTTATCTGTCTACTTTTCAGGCCAGTATTGCTGAGGGGTATGTTTTAAAACCAGTTAGAAAAGAATAATTCTTGAGTAGCCTTTGAGACTTCTGATCTCTAGTAGTCTGAATTGCAAAGATCTGTTCTGAGGTTGTTGGATGCAGCAGTTCACTAATGGTATAGCATGCAATCACAGCTCATTTAGATAAAATGACTTGATATCCACCATGCGTTTTGGTAGGAATAGTTAGCCTTACAGAGATTATCCTCTGCTCTGAAATAAGTACTACTGTTTCAAGAGTTACAGTTGATATATTACATAGTAATTTTTAAAGTACAAGAAAACTGTACAACAATAGTAAACTCCCGTTGATTTTTATCCCTCAGATTAGTTATTTCCTTACTCAGCAGTTTTGCGCTAGCTAGCTGTCAGCCTTTTTGATGAGCTCAAACCTTAGCTATAGAAGACTAGTGGCTGAATTTCAGAATTGTATTTGTTGTACTTTCCTCAGAAAAGGTACGTGCTCTTTTTATTATCATCACAGTGTGTCCACAGCAGCTTCTGGCTCCATTTCTAAAGTTAACTTTCCCTGGTGTTTCTGAAAACTACTTCTCTGTAAGTGAGTAGCTGTTGCTCAGCTTCCAGCAAGAGGACTTGTTGTTTGGGGAGTTTAAAGCTTGTTCTCCCCTCTACCTTCTCTGTCTCCTTGGTGATTTATTTTAGTTCCATTAAAGGTGTAACTGAGCAGGCTTCTGGATTTGCGTGATGGTTGAGAGCCTGGATTTTCTGCTTTCTGCTTGTTCTTTTGCCTGCCTGTTGCGAGAGTACACCCCATACAAATTGTGTAAGTCTGGATGGGGTCTCTGGATCTTTGCATTGTAGGTGGCAATTTTCAATCTGATATTTTGCTTCACACAAACTTATTTTTGTTAGTGATTCTGAGCAGGCATTGACACGTCTTTCTGTACTGTTTTCTCACAAGGGAACAAAGAAGCAGGTTGATCTTTTCTGTATCTTGTTTCTGCGAAGTAGAAGTATCTGTGCTTTTAATTGAGCTCAAGAGGCTTTATAAATTGACCTGAACTTGTAGAGCTGTTCCAGGGAGCCAGGACTGAAGTAGTCAGGCATGATGTGTGTTGGGAGAGAGGTGTGTTAATTAATGTTGAAGGTAGGGGCTAGAACAGTGAAGCAGTAGTCATAGATCTGTTAAAGAAGCGTATGCACAACTTGGCGTTTCCTTTTCACACAGACTACCCATAACTATGAATAATGTATCCCTAAGCCTACAGCAACTCACATCTACTGGAAGAGGTGACAGTGAAGTGAATCTGTGTGTTCTGCCTGTGGGAGCCTTTTCTGCAGCAAGTGGCTTTTTCCTCTTGGTGCCCGCTTAGCTGCTTTCCACTGTAGTTGTTGAGGTTGGTTAACAGTAATGCTAACGTAGGTGCTGGCATTGTAACACCACTGGTCTTTACCTGATTTAATTGAGGCAATTTAGAATGATCCTACATTACCATTGGTGGTTTAAGCTATTATTTCCATTTATGAATAAGAGTGCACAGGGTACCAACATATGGCTGATTTTATTGCCTCTGGTAGAAGAGTGGTAGCTTCTAACTGGATTATAAGCCATTATCGAAGGTACACAGAGAACTGCCTTTGACAGCCAGGCCTCTTATCTAATGCTTCCCAGTATCAGAGTTTGGTGTCCTGTTGAGTGCTGCTGCTGAAGTAGGTAAAAAATGACTGATTGGTCTTAGAACAGTCTCCTTGATAGCTCAATGAGGTTTGACTAGCAAACCAGGAGAGGAGTTCACTCTCAACTATGCAGGATTTGTGTGTGTGTGTGTGTGTGACAACTATGTCAAAAGTAGGCAAGCTCAGCTCTTAATAGGGATGTGTAAGAGATGGCAAAGAAGTGCTGTTCCTATACAGATTTACGGGATTCTGAAGTACATTGATGCCATTTCAGTTTCATGCAACTATAAGAAGTTTCTTATCCTGCAGCCCCTCAGAATCCCCACAGCATGGTGGAGGCTGCTCTCTGGACCACAATAAGGGCAGCTTTCTTTAACACCTGGGGCTTAGCCCCTCCTAGGTATGAACACAACTGGAGTCAAAAAGGGAGTCTGCAAAGCTTCTCTGCAAAATATACAAGGTCTTACATGGTTCCTCTGTCAGCTTCATTCTTGCTGGAGTTCAAGAGGCCCCATTGCCAATTAATGAGGTATTAACTAGTGTTTAGGTTGTCGCCTTTCTTTCCTAATGACTGTTTAGGTAGGAAGGTAACAAGATTCTTGCCCAGTGCTGTATTGTTTAAGTGAGAATGAAATCAAAGCCGGAGGCAGCTTTTCTGAAGCCACTGTAATGTGGCACAAGATACGGTTACTAGCAACAATCTCGTCCTAAACATTCTCTCAACTGCACCATTGTTTGTAGCTACAGAAGACTGAAGGAGTCTTGATGAATGATTGAAGCGGGAGGCCTGCCACTCCGATATCTAAACTGTGATCGTGTCTGTCTACTGTTGTCTCTGGGGAAAGCTACTGGTCCATTCCTTCCCCAGCTCCTATTCCTTGGGGGGGTGTAGAACAAGAGACAATTTTTCCTTCTCAATCCAGTGGAACCTGTTTGGCATTTTCTCCTCGTGGGAGTAAATTTGTGGTTCCCTATGTTTAAGAGCTATTTTCTCTTCATTCCCAAGGAGGAACTGAATGCATTTAACAGCCGATTGTGCTATATTGTAGGGAACAGGACACAGTCTTACAAATTAACATCTAAAAAAATATATGGAGCCGGTAACAACTGAATTGTAATTCTTTTCTTTGCTAGGTTACATCTTTTTGCAAATGTAGATAGACTCTTGATAAAGTCTTTCTGAAAGCTCCTAGTTTTAAACTCTTTCTGTTGCTGGGAGGTGAGGGTTGCTCTTGTAGGGTCAACTCACTCCGAGTCACACAAATTAAGGAAGCAGATGGCAACAAAGTATCTCTGTGTAGATGTCTCCCCACAGAGGTGGTAGGCTGTAGGTGGCCTTTCCCTGTCATGTATTTTTATTCTGTTACTCAGATCCCAGCCATGAGGGCACAGCGGAGGGGATGGAGAACATGGCAGATGCTGTCACCCATGCCCGATTTGTGGGCACGGATCATGCGAGTGATGAGGTTGTCTTGATGAAAATCCTACAGGTAAGTGAAGAGAAATGGTAATTACCATAATGGTTGCTGCCCGTTGTGGAACATATCCTGTTACATGGAGATGAAGAGGAGGGAGCAATGTTTTGACTCTGTAGGAGCTTAGTGACAGACTTTATTTTTAAACAGATGGCTCATATACCTGTGGTAAAAGCTTTTCCAAATGAAAATAATTAAAAGCTTAAATGAAATGATTTTTAAATTAAGGGCTTGATAATGTGGTAGTGTTGATAATCCTACCTTGTGCGTGGTCTGTGTTAGTGAGGGGTAAATTAAGCATATGGAGCTCTCAAACTGATTTTTGAGAAAAATTCTTTGTAGAGACAAACCTATGAACTATACACCTCTTTGGTCTATGTACTTTTCAGCAGATAGCTAGTTAATGAATTTAAATATTGGGTAGCATGCAGCATGTCAGGCTTCTTTTAGAAGTGGGCTGGGAGATCATTCTTGTCTCCTAATCTGTCTGTCTGTTGAGCACAGCATTCAGTTTGAAATGACTCCTGGAAAACCCTTAGGTTTTCTGCTCATGGCAGTCCTTCTTGAGGAAGCCAACCTTCTCTTGGAAATGCATGCAAGGGTCATTGTACTATGGGACATACGTGCGCTGTTCTTTGCAGGTTTTGAGGACCTTGCTGCTCACTCCAGTGGGAGCCCACCTCACCAACGAATCTGTGTGTGAGATCATGCAGTCCTGTTTCCGCATATGCTTTGAAATGAGACTCAGTGGTAGGTTTGTTCATACTTCTGCAGTTAAGAAATGATCGGGTTTCCTCAGCATTAACTAGTTCTATTGTAGAACATGCAGCCGTGGAAAGCTGCTGAGCTGTATATTATTGTGTCTTTCTACAACTTCATGGAAAATTTGTTAGGAGTTCACTGTACAACTTTTGACTGCTCTTTTTCCCCAGCTTTGTGGCGCCACCTTGTGATTATATGCCCATTTGCAGTAATGCGGTATTGGAGCTGGTTTTAATAAATTTGCCGTAATCTCTGTAAACAAGGCTCGGAGGGGAGTCTGCTTGAAGAAGCCTCTTGATAATATCACACTGAGTAATGACACCTGTGTTATTTGTTTTTGTCTTCGCAGAGTTATTGAGAAAATCTGCAGAGCACACTCTGGTCGACATGGTGCAGCTGCTCTTCACAAGGTAAACCTGCTTGTGTTTGCCTCAGCATTGCCGAGATGGCCCTCTAAGGACAGAAAGATTTCACACTTCCACTTAAGGGCCCTCAGAAAAATCATCCAAAATGGTCATTATTTAGAGGTGGAAGGGGATGAAGGATTTGGCACTTTTCTCTTGGGCTGACCTTGTTAGACTGCAGGGAGGCAGAGGTAGGGAAGGTTGCCTGGTTTAAGGTGTCCTTTGAGGAGAGATGGACGGCCAAGTAATGAAGAGCTTTAGGATATGGAACCAGTTTGAGGACAGAGAATGCAAACTTCACTCCAAAAAAAAAAAGTACTCTAAAAAATATAGCGCTTTCCAGGTGAGAGAATAGAAATGGTGTTGAATAGTCACATGTTGATTTCAAGCTGAGAGCTTTGACCTCACATATCAAAGAGAATTTTAAACTCTTGAGATCATGTGTCTTGGACAAATGTTCTGCCCTTTTCAGCACCCTTTAGGTAATTAAGATTACTTCTTTTAAACTCAAGTAAGTTATTTAACTTCAAAACTGTTTCTCCAGATAGTAAAGTAATCGTAGACTTTCTCTGGGTATTGTAAAAAGGAAATGTGCAGATACAGAAATACTTTTAGTAGGAAAGGATTGTAGTAAAGCTGACAGCTTGTGAAACACAGCTCTCATAATATTTTTTTTTCCTCATTGTCACACTCAGTTCCAGTGGGTTCTCAGGGTTTTTTTTTTCCTCTGTGCACCCTGTGTCCTGCAGTGCACTGGGTGAATGTGGGGCAGAGTCAGAATCAATCTCTCCAAAAAGGAGAGACCGCATTACTTTTTCTCCAAATGCATATGTGAATTTTACTTAGTGCTTATTCATTACTTATTGTGTATCCTCTCCTCTGTCCTCCTTGATAAGGCTTGGAGACACCAGCACCATCTGTGCCTGTGGACATTGGTATATTAGAAGCAAGGCAAAGACAACAACTGCAGGGATGGTTTGACCATCTTGCTTTTCAGAAAAAGAAACAGCCAAAGCTATGCTGCAAGGCTTTTATCCCTTCAGCAAGCAAAGATAGAAGTGTAGTAAAGGAACAGAAGGGAGAGCAGGGTGTGTGGAGTTGCAGAGCTGTATGCATTTGTCATTTGGTAGCACAGGTGAGAGCTGTCTACCTCCTTTACTTCTGAGACAGGGACTGCTTAGCTCAAAGCATTCAGCTTAAACTTAGATCCACTGTGCACTATAATTGTGTTTATATGATGCAGAATAGAGGATAACTACTGGGGATTCTACAAAGTTAATGAAAAGAGTTGCCATGACTAGTAATAACAAGTACACTGCAAGAGTCCTGGTGTGGAAGATACTCTGGCTCAGCAGCTGTTTTTAGCAGCATCAGAGAAACCTGTTTTGAACGAATCTAACTAGTCCACTGCTGAAAATATACGCTGAAGGAAAAGAAGCTGTACTTACATGACCATTAACAATGAAAATCAATACAGCAAAACTGCTATTAGCAGTAATAGCATGCAAAGCACTTCTCGCCTATTCTTGTTTTGTTTTTTTTTTTCCCCTCAGCAGATTTTGGCAGGAAAAGAAACTAAGAACGTCTTTTTTTGTGGAGAAAACCTAATTTTGGCTTTCTAGTATCTGCAGCATGACTGGAAAGACCAGTCTATTTTTTTCCCTTTTTGTTAACCCAAGAAAGTTTATGTATTTTTGGCTTGTTCTTTGTCTTTCAGGTTGCCTCAGTTTAAAGAAGAGCCTAAAAGCTACATGGGAATGAATATGAAGAAGGTAAGACTCAGCATTGTGTTGGCTGTTCTGCTCTTGTCTAGGGCTTGCACTCATCTCTATATTGTTTGTTTTCACACTTGTGTTTCTTCATTCCTGCAAGTCCCTAGTTTACTGAAAGAGCATGTTTAACTGCATAAATGGACATAGCTTCATTAATTCTGTGGGATTAAGCCCACATAGTCCAGTAGTGAATCTTGTTAATGATACTGCTGCCTAAGTGAGTCAGTCTGGATTCTGGGAACAGCCATCAGCTGCTGTGGGCTAGAAAACCCCGGCAAGCTGTGGGACCTGATGGTGATGTCTTCTGATCATTTGCTGTCTTCTGCTCTCTCTCCAGCTTCTTTCTTATCTTTCTTCATTCACTACAGGTCTAATACTGAGCTCTTGGGGTGTATTTGTCCAGTTCTCCCTATGTGGAAAGCAAACTTTCTGAGGCTGGTGAAACAGCATAAAAACATTATGAAATTGGGCTATTGTAGAAAAAGCTTTGGTGGCTTCTAGAAAGGGGTAGCATTCTGTAGCGAAAACTTTAGTTCACATGGGCAATGCCGTCTCTATTAGCAGCCAAATCAAAGCAGACTGTTCTTTTTCTCCCTTTCCCTAAATGCACAATTTTCTGAGGGTGGAAGGTCCGGGTTTGTTCAACACCATCTCCCTCTATGCAGTGAGGTTTTTAGCAGCTGGATTCAGTATGGCAAATACCATAAACATGACTGTGTGTGATTATTAATGTAATAATTTCTTAGGTGGAGGGAGGTCCACTTGAGGAACTCCATATGTACGTCTATACATATATATATATTCTTTATATGGAATATAAAGAATGTCAATAAAAATACAGGATTCTACTGTTGAGAGCAACAGGACGGGAAGAAGAGTGCTAGAGAAGAAACAGCCACCTTTGAACTTACGCTGAATATACTATTTATAACATTATAACTTCCACTCTGTTTTTACTTTTAATGAGTTGAGAAAAGTGGCAACATAGGGTAAACGTACATTTCAGAGCCAGTATAGCAGTGTTTTGAGAGACTGAATGCTTACTTGCAGGAATCTGAAACTAGCTTGGGGCTTTAGTTCTTGTGTAGTAACCTAATGATTGGTTGTTTCCCTTGCTGTGGGAGAAAAGTGGCAAGATTTGTGATGATGGTAGGTTGGCCTCAGGAAAGCTAAATGAGATCAGGCTAATGTACTGCAGGTATCAGAATTTGTCATGGTCTGTGCAGAGAAGGTGTAATGTGAAGGTGAATTTGAATTTAGGAGGGCTACCCTTATCAAGTGATGGCTGCTCCCAGCACGGTTAAGTGATGCTCTGTCTTGTGTCTTGATCTGTGCAGCTACCTTGTACTGTCTCTTCGCTGTGCATGCCAGGAGCCTGCCCTGTAGCCTTGCACTCTGCCAGGTTATTCTTCTCTTTGGGTTTATTTTGCTTTGTTTAAACCATGCATTTGCCTATCTTTCACAGATCTCTTCATGTCTCCTCAACAAACTGGAGCTAAGTAGTGGGGAACAGCCCAAAGCCCTGAACCAATTAGAGAGGGTATTGCTCTTTAAGAACCTGAAGGTCTCTCTCTCCCTTTTCCCTTCTTACCTTGTAAAACACCACCTTAGAGATCGTTTTGTTGTGTGCAGCAAATCTCCCTCCACTCATATGGCACAGCATGGCTTTGAGGGACAATGCATGTAGCGGTTGCTTTGCAGTGTTGTGGCTGCATCTGGGGCAGGCTTGGGAGGGAGAGACCCTTGTTTTACTGCAGCATTCAGTGTCTTGGTGAGTGCCACCTAAGATGCCATCACGGCATCCTCTGAAGGAAGGGAGTGGGAGGGCATGGGCAAGATTTGAGTCCTCTGTGACAGTGAAAAACTGCAGAAAAGAAACATAAAAAATGTAGATTGCTCTCTGAAGGCTCAAGTGTTGTGTGTCCTAGCTGTTGATCTTGTTTATAGATGTAGCAGCATACCTGAGGAGTCGCTTGACCCAGCATGCCTTAGACAGTTTTACTCAAGGTGAATCTCTGAGTTTTGTTACTTGGTACAGGACCACAGAGTTCAATGCTCTCTAAAGCTTTTTTGGAGGAGACTGCTGTACATTTTCAACACCTTTGGCCATGTTTCTTCTGAAATTAAATATGGTTCCCAGCAGAGTATTTACTAATGTGGGATGAGTGGGGCTGAACTGAACTGCGAAATGTGTTAGTCCCTGCTGGTTCCCCTAGAAAATACTCCTAAAGAAATATTGTAGGCCTGCAGATTGTTGTTTTTAGACTGATCATAGAAACCCTGAGAAACTAGCTTAGATGCGACCCTTCTCAGTTTTCTATGTTGGTTCATAAACTTAATGTAGCTTTATTTCTTGTCTGCCCTTAATGCTATTTGGTGCAAAAGGAGCTGAACAGAACATTTAGAGATGCATTTCCCATTCCTTTTTCCTGTGTCTGGTCAGGATAGTTTGGAAAGACAATGGCTGGAGACTCACAGATTTATGCAGTTACACAGAAGAAAAGACTAAGAAATGTTTCCCTTTGCAGTAGAAAGTGTTGTAGCTAAACATTGGGTTCTGCGTTGGGAGTCAGGAGGAACCCAGATTTGAGTTTTCACAGATTTTGGAGGTGGATTGAGTTCATAGTTGCCTAAGATGCATAAATATGTTTCACCAGATAAAGTTCATCAGTTGTTGCCGTGCAGGTAGGTAGGTAGGTGAGATGGCTGGACTGCATCGGTGTCTCCAGGACTTGGACCGTGGACTGCGTTCTCTCTGCATGCTTTTGTGTCTTGAACGCTACTTGGTGTGCTGACCAGTTCCATGCTGCATCTAGAATGAGCTCACGTTTTAGTATAATCACTTTAGTTACTAATCATTGGCCCCTGCCCTTTTCTCTTGAGGCTTACAGTATCTTATGGAAAAACAAACGAGTGCAGGTAAGGTGGCTTGTAGAAAAATGAGATCTCATGGACCTTTTAAAAAGAACTTTGTAGTATTACATTTTTCTTCACCTTCCTAGACCTTAGCTGGAGTTTTATTGTTAAAACCTCATCTATCAAAGAAAGCATTCGGAGTCTTGTATTTTTTTTTCATACAATTTTGTGTACATGTTTCTTTATGCAAAGGTAGCTCAGATAAATGTAATGGAAACTATACTGAGTTCCAAGATGAATGAGCAGTAGCTCTGAGCTCACTCTCTACTCTGATTTCTAAAGAATGGTTTTTAAATACTAACTTTAGTTGTTTTTTAAACAATTTAAGTACAAGCTTAATCTAATCTGAAGGACATTGATAAGTAGAAAACTAATGCAACTATAATATCACTGAGCATTGGAGAGGGAAGGAGAGTTTTAGATGACGTTTAAAATTCATGATATTTTAATGATCTATTAAATGCCATTTACCTGCAGCATTTAGTCAAGAAGGCAACCTTAGGTTTAAAATCTCAGCCCGTTAACATGCGACCAAGCTTTCTAGCAAAATCAGGAAATGCCTTGGCATTGAAGGTAAAAACAAGCATTAGAAATAGTGCCGTTAGTGAAAGACAAACTGTATAAGTTTTTTGACATTTTTATACTAACATAAAAAGCAAGAAGTCATGGGATTGTTACATTTTAATTCAATACAAAATACAGAATGAAAGATGTTACTCTGCTGTCCTTTGGTACATGTATTGTTTTAGAATTCCCAAACTCAGTTTGTTTGTTAAAACAACATATAGCCCCTTGAGACTGGTGAAACATTTTTATTTAGCATTTCTGTTTGCTTCTGCAATTTTTTCAAGCTATGCAATTGTCATTGTAGTTTGCTATCTCTTATTTATAGGAGATAGCAAAAGAAAGAAAAAGGAGGGGGGGATGATGTGGGAGGTAGTCCTAGGTAATCCTAGTAGGTAATTCTAGTAGAAGGATACCTGTTTGTGTAGAATGTGGAATACTGGATGGTACAAGATGGAAAAGACCTACTGGGTAATCTCACTTGTCTGTTAAATTGCTGGGGGGGGGAATACCCACCCACCCAAAAAAACAAATAAACTTAGATTCTTATCTGAATGCTTTATACTTTGATTAAATGTTTGGGATTCTTTAAAAATCAACTGAGTCTTTTTACTTCCCTGACTAAATGGTTTCCCATCCACGTGAGGCTGTTGTGACTCAATCTCTGGAAGATGGCACGAGTTCATCAAAGTAATGACAGATGGGCATATGTCCTTTATGAAACTCAAGAGGAGAAATCTTGGAGTTAATACAAAGCACAGGACAATCACTAAAAATGAGTATTGTGTCTGAGGAAAAGTGCTTTTTCGAAAGGGCTAGCGTTGAACTGAGGTGGTGTTGGTGTTGTGTGAAAGGGGAGATCAGAAATATAATTAAATTGTCAGCTTGAACATTCTGATAGGATGGTTCAAAAGTTACCTGTTTCTCAGGAGCATGACTGAGGGTTACAGGAGTGGGACTGACATGGTTAGCTTCTAGCGATATCTTGGCTCCATTTTGCTGACTCAATTCCATGGTCTCCCCCCCTCCATTTTTTATTGGCAAGAAACTTTTTACCTGGCAAATCATGGCAACAGGAAATAGTAGCTAGAAGCAAAGTCTGTTATTTTGAAATAATGTGAAACAGACTTTCTTGGGTTTAACACATAACGCTTCCAGGTTTCCTTCCTACTTGAAGTAGTTTGGCACAATAAACCGTAAGTCTTCAGATTTGATTTTATAAGTTACTGAAAAGGGAGAAAAAAAAAATGTCTATTTCTAGAATAGTTGGTAGGTAAAGCAAAACTACCTGGACTAATTAGAAGCTTAAGCCTTTAATGAATAAAACTATTGGTAATATTTAAGGCTCAGAGAGATTTTTAAATGGAAAGGGAAACAAATAGAGGTGAAACATTAGGAATTGGCAAGAATGAAAGATAACGCATTTTATATAGCCCTCTGAAGTAGTAAATAGGGAAGATGAGAGAGCTGACAATTTTTACATGAAAGGATTGTGATCCATAAGCATTTTAAAACACTTTGAAATCTGCAAAATTTTTGTTTTAACTGCGTGCTTTTCACATGAGTGTTTATCAGAAGCTGTGATTTAGGAGGAGATGCTTGCTGCAAAATTTGGAAGAAATAACGAGCAAAGTAATTCTGAGTGTTGTTAATTAACAAGCTCGAGGAAACTGTAGCATAGCTAAAACTTGGGGATTAGTTCTCAAACAAATAGAATTTGTGGTGCAAAGAAAAGTTACACCACTGCACTGGGACATAACATTTTCACAAGCTTTGTTTAAATGAGAAAAATTACAGGCTGTGTACAACGAGTTAGAATTCTAGCTGGAAAAGGGAAAGAAACAGAAAAACAGTAGCAGAACCTGGAAGGCTTATTGGCATTTAAGAAGAGTAGTAGCTGGAAGGAGGCAAGTTGCAGAAAAAAGAAGAGACTAAAGAATATAGCTGTCTTCCAGAGAATTTAAATCTGATGCTAGGGATATAAGAAATAAGGAATATTATAGCCTAAAATATAACTTAACTGTGATAAATTTACAAAGAAGAATACCAGTTAGGGACTGGTACTGAGACTTGCTGAATTGTTTCCACTACATGCAAGGTACCTGTTCAGTGGTTAAATTTTCACCCCGAATTGAAGAGGTCTGACAGCATCAGAAAAGTTGCCTGCAGCTACCAAACCCAAGAGTAAGTGCAATCTTGCACTTAGAGGAACTTGCTTTAGAAGGAAGCTGTTTTCAGGCCTGCTGTTGCCATTGTCAATGTGACTAAATATCGTATTGTTTTTAGGAAGTTCTGGAGCATCTGTGTGTGCCTGCAATAGCAGCAGCGCACTGCAGCAAGTGCCACGCAGTCTGCATTGCTCCTACTGTCGTTCTCGTTTGCCGATCTAAGATCTGTATAAGAACTAGAAGTAGGATCCTGGTCAAGAAAGATGTCAAGGGTTAGGTTAGATTTAGATCTGAAGAGGAGTAATGACAGAAGGCAGGTGAAAGCAGAATACGGTTTGTTTCTAAACCGCTAGGGTGGTATTTGCAATGTGTCATGCACCAGGAGCGAGTGGAGTGTTAAACACTTGTTAATAGTGGAAGTTACCTGGAGGAGAGTGAACATGGCATTGCTACGAAGATGAAGAGTGAATTGAGACGAGATAAGTGACAGAGCTGCAGACTGTGCAGCGTGGGACTGGGTGCTCAGGCTTCATTATCAGCCTTCTTGTATAGATGGTGAAATTTTATTTGAACGTCAAACCTAACTAGTACTCGCTTATGTACTTTAATTGATGCCCTTCAGAAGTCTGGAAACATTGGCAAAAGCAAAGAGATTTGACATGTGCCTGTAGGTCTAAGAGAATTCTTTATCCTAATGCAAAGCTAGGAGGTATTGGTAGGGAAGAGGGAGTGCTGTGGATAATTGGACTGTTAAGTATATATTATAGCAGAGTAACTGCAGTAAATTGTCCCTTGATTCAGGCGTGGAGTGTTTGCTAATATGTGGGTAGTGGGGAGTCGGGCTGGTTTGCATGATTTTGAGGTGCTGATTAATTTGTGTGATATATTTAAGTGCTGCTGCCTGACTTTGAGGGTTTTGAGACAGCCTTTGTGGGTTGGCTTGTGTAATCCGTTGTGCTATGTGGTTTTGCTATACTGATATTCGTAATGATATGTGGTTTTCAGTTGAAAATGAGAGCTGGAGGAATGAGTGAATCATCAAAATGGAAAAAGCAGAAGAGATCACCAAGGCCTCCTCGCCATGTAACTAAGGTCTCTCCTGGGACAGAACAACCAGCAGCCAATGCTAGTAACATCACAGGTAAGTTGCAATCTATCTCCAGAGACTAGACAGCATCCATTCTAGAGCTTTTTTGGAATCTATCTTTAATGTGTTGTTCTGCATTAGATTTTTTTTATATTCGTTCTCAGTGACTATAGCAATAAAACATATCATAGCTTTTCAGGTCCAGGAGGAAGAGTTTGAAGGAGATGGAATACATATTGATGGAGGAAAGCATGGTACTGTGGCTAACTTGACAGCATTTCTCTGCCTTCAGTGTGCTTACAGGGGTAGTTTGTACAAAAGGGAATGGGGACCTGGAGAGGTGGCTGAGGTTATGGGCAGCATGTGGTGCGGAGGAGTTGGAGGGTGCAGCAGGTGCATGGAAGAGACTGAGAACAAGAACACTGGCAAGAGGAGAGCTAAGGGGAATGGAGCTGGGGAGGTGGTTTCCTGCAACAGGAGATTGCTGACTTAAGTGACGTATTCTTTCCTGTGCTCCTGAAGGGTGTACCAGAGGGTGTGGGTGTGGTGGTAACGAGGGAGGAGCAGAGTGTGACTGGAGAAAACATACAGGTGAACTGAGGGATGTGCAGAAACCTAGGTATCAAGGATGGGTGAATGAACAGTTCTCTCACTACGGATGTAACAACTGAAAGTGTGCACCCGCAGTCCATGAAATTTGAATAAAAGGCTACACTTATTAAGGGACAGGGAAATACGGGGTGTTACGACTCTTGTTATGTAGGGGAAAAAGTAGAGGGAACAGCAAAAGAACCTCAAAAGGGATTGTGTGCAGGAAACTAATGGGTATACACATGAATCTTTTTTCATGTGCTTTGATTCAGCCTGCAGAAGTGATACATTATGTGACTAGTGCTGTGAGCTCAAGAATATAATGTTGGGGGGCTTCCATATCCTATTGTTGTATAGGAGTAGACTGACTAGTTGTAACTGTTTTTAACCTCTTCTCTGGATAAATGAGTCCCTCTGGCTGCCAAGTACTCTGTCTCTTGTGCACTCTACAGTTTGATGGCTCAGACATAAACATTAAGAGTGAAAGGAAGCAGACAGGAAAATTGAAACAATAGCTGTGTAAAATACCTAGTTCTGACACTTACTCTGTCACAGGAAACTATTCAGTGTAGTGTGAACAATTCCAAGTGTGTTTCTACACAACAGCATGATTGGTGAAAACTAAGGAAATAATAAATGTGATCAAATTGCATATCACTCAGAACATCCATCCAGATGAGAACTTATCCCTACGTAAATCATCATTATATTTAAGTTTCCAAATAGATACTAAATGCAGTTAAACAGTATTATAACTCCTGTAACGTTTTAGAGAGAAAGTTGAATTGTGTTACAAAGCACGTCATTAATTCTGACCTTGTAGTGCTAGGTAATGTATTAATTGTGCTTTTTAGGCCAGAATCCTGGCTTAGCAGGTGAAGAAGAAAGGATTGCAAAATTGATCGTGTATCCCATTTCATTTCTTAAAAATCAAGTAATGTCCTGCTACTTACTTAAGACATTTCCAAAAATCAAGTCAGCAATAAAACACCACTGTGCAAAACCATACACATTTCACACGTAAATTCATAACATAGCTCTGGTTTGTGCCTTTATTTTATTACTGTGCCCTGCAGTATATCTTCTCTTTTTTAAATATTTGTTTTACATTTTTTAAATTCCTCAGAACCGTAAGAGCTGCAGATATGTGGGTTTCTTTTAAAGGAAAACTTAGATTCTTGGAGCACTATCTCATATATGGAAAAAGTAAAAATACTTCACTGCTCCATTTCAGACCCATTTGAATTATATTGAAATTCCATTTGTTCAAGGAGAATTAAAGAAATAGGTCTTGCCTTCCAATCAAGTTAAAAATTCTCACTTTGAAGGAATGACTAACCTTTGATGCAAGTCTTTAAAGTGGTTGTGCCATTGTATCAAAGTAAAGTGCACCTTTTGGGCTATGTTCAGATTTCTTCTTAATTACAGAAACCCTCTGTACCCTTTATCTAACTGTGAATTATCTTTTTTGCTGAGTCTGTTAGATTCCAACTATTGTATTTTAATTTCGAGAACTGCTAGTATCTCACCCGTTCATCTATTTGATTCATTAATACCTGGCAAAAGAGAACTTAATTTATCTACGTTCTCTACATTAATGTGTAACTGTCCAAGATCATTTGTAGTGTGAAGTAGTAATCAAAGTAGTTCTTTGTTGCTGTATTCAATGTATGAACTTGTGGTTGAGGGACAGAATAATATTGACCTTTTGCTTTTGTTTCTCATCAGCAAGCGGAGTTACTTTCATAGATGCTCCTTCTCCCAGCTCCTCTGGGAGCTCAGAAAATGTTTCATCTGCAGTCAGCGCTGCTACAGACAGTGGTTTGGAGTTGTCCTCACAGACTACCTCCAAGGAAGACCTGACAGACTTGGACCAAGTCGCTTCTTTGGGACTTTCTCTCTCTCTCTCTCTCTCTCTCTCTCTCTCTCTCTCTCTCTCTCTCTCTCTCTCTCTCTCTCTCTCTCTCTCTCTCTCTCTCTCTCTCTCTCTCTCTCTCTCTCTCTCTCTCTCTCTCTCTCTCTCTCTCTCTCTCTCTCTCTCTCTCTCTCTCTCTCTCTCTCTCTGGTCATAGTGTTTATATTCTATTTCAAGGCTTAGGGTCAGAATAAAACATCCTTTGCTGTAAGTGATTTGTAAATTCACAAACATTCATTCTTTGTTTTCTCTTGAGACCATCCCCATTGGCTCAGAAATTATAACTGTGCAGCCCAACAATGCACCTACGTATCTAGTTGTACTCCTGCCAATACCATCAATCTTAATTAAAGGAGAAACTGTTAGAGGGAAACATAGAGGAAATCTGCAGGAGAGCTCATTTTACTGTCTTTAGTGAACAGTTTTTCTTGAGTTTGTAGAAATTCAGCTGTTGGTGTTTGTGCATGTGCATTGCTGTTGCTGTGAAATACAATGAACCTGAACGAAGGCCTTTGTTAAGTTTTCCTCCGTTGTCTCCGCTTCCCCTGCAACACTAATACTGTTGAGAGGATGGATTAGAGCTGCAAGGAACCTTTCAGAGCTGCAGATACTTTGAATGGTAAAAATGCGAAGAAGGCATAGATGTAGAAATAGTGTGCTGAAATTATGTAGCATTTAAAACCAAAAAATGAGCCAAATCCTAACCTCAGGCAGTAAGAACTGATAGGTTATAGGAGTATCTTCAAAGTAAAGTCCTTAGTCTCGCAACCTAGAGTTATATAAAATAGATAAGAACTAGATGGAAGTGAAAGGGCCGAGAGGGCTGCAGATTATCTAGAGGCGCCCTTTTCTCTTAAATTTTGTTTTCTTGCTCCTCTTCCCTGAGTGACCTGTGTAGTTTTAATAGTTCTGAATGAATTGTGAACAAATAAGCCTTTCTTTTAGCTTGTCTAGTGCTTGTTAACTCGTTTTGCTTCTTTCATTCTCAACCGACTGATATCAATGAAGAATGAAAGTCTGAGGGAGGAGAAGATCCAGTCAGCTTCTGTTGAGTCTATCCCTGAGGTCCTAGAGGAGTGCACATCTGTAGCAGAACATTCTGACTCTGCCTCAGTTCATGACATGGACTACGTAAATCCCCGAGGAGTACGTTTTACTCAGTCTTCCCAAAAAGAAGGTGAGAGGTGGGCAACGTTGCTAAAGTCCTTTTTCCTTTCCACTATTCTGTTTCACTTTCTGCTAAGAGGGTTCTAAGCTCCTGTTCCTCAGCTGGTCTGTAACAATTTCATTTGTAACACTTGTTAGGCATCTGCAAAAAGCAAAAGCAAAGCTAAGAGTGCTAATCTCTCTCATTTTCCTTTAGGAGCAGCACTGGTCCCGTATGGACTACCATGTATTAGAGAACTGTTCCGCTTTCTTATCTCACTCACAAACCCCCATGACCGCCACAACTCTGAGGTGATGATCCACATGGGGCTGCAGCTGCTAACTGTTGCCCTGGAGTCAGCACCCATTGCAAACTGCCAGTCCCTCTTGGGACTTGTGAAGGAGGAGTTGTGCCGACACCTATTTCAAGTGAGTCTGACTTATGCTAGCATGGCATGTGGCACTGCGGAGTAAGATACTAATTTGGATCAAAGAGTCTATTGGAATTCAATATTCTGAAGTTTGGCAGGTCTCAATCTTCAAATAAGCTCTCTGCTGCATTGCAATGAGAGTTCTGAATTGCACCAGTGAAACAGTGCTGTTGCAAAGCCAGAGAGGTTGTCATGAGGGCCAAGAAGGATGAAGGTGATTTGAATGAACTGTTACTGTGGGATAACACTGTGTTTTGATATAATTGGTTTTGAGGTAATCATGGGTGCAAGTTACCAGCTTAGTAGTAGGCAGAAACTTTGGAGTACCAAGCTATTAATTGCACAAGGGCCACCTCAGAGGCAGGTTTTCTCCCAAGTTCCTTCTCCACTAAGAGGATCTGTGGACTTGGCAAAAGCACAAAGTTGTAGTAGGAAAAGTGCTACCACAAGCAGAAGGGAATTAAGTATATTCATCCTCACTAGCAAAAAGTGAGACCGGTAGGTTGAATAAGGGATTGTTTTTTGAAATACCATTGCTATGGGAGGTGAACTGTGGATCTCAAGGCTGTTGCAGGTGATGCCTGCAGTGCCACAGTAGGCACATACTTACAGCACATAATGACTAGCCTTTGCAATTCTTAAAGTTGTTCGGGTTTTTTTTGTTTCTTGTTCAGCTACTGAGTGTTGAACGGCTCAATCTGTATGCAGCTTCCCTCAGGGTGTGCTTTCTTCTCTTTGAGAGCATGAGAGAGCATCTGAAGTTCCAGCTGGAGGTGAGTTTTTTGAGTATCACTGGGTGCCTAGTAATAGTTTCTTGGACTTCAGTTAAGTGCATGTAGCTAGGCAGTAGGATACAGTCTATATATCAACTTACCTTTGTATAAATGACTCCGTGGGTTATGGGTAGGCTGTGTAGGCCTTTTCTTGTTGGATAATAAAATGTCTTTGAGACTGGTGTACTGCACTGCCTGCCTTCATACTGTTTTTTTTAGAACAGTAAACCCAGGTGCACTGAAGTGGTAAAACTATTTGAAACCTTTCTACAACCTCCTTCAGAACGAGCCATCATTAAAGGTGGAGTGTCATGTGGGAAGATGAAGCTTAAATCGATTTCAGTAGTCCTCAAAGCTATTCACTGTCCTGCTTTCTTTTTTCTTTCCTTAAACTGAGCTGCCCTGTGTTTCTGCCAGATGTATGTCAAGAAGCTGATGGAAATAATCACTGTGGAAAACCCAAAGATGCCCTATGAAATGAAGGAGATGGCTTTGGAAGCCATCGTTCAGCTGTGGAGGATTCCCAGTTTCGTGACCGAGCTCTACATTAACTACGACTGTGACTACTACTGCGCCAACCTCTTCGAGGAGCTCACCAAGCTGCTCTCCAAGGTGCTGAACGGCGGGCCGGGGGCTGCCGGCCTCAGCGGGCTGGAGGGAGGGAGCAGCGGGGTGCCGAAGGGGAAGCCAGTAGCTCCGAACAAGGGGGAGCGCAGATGCCGGACTTAAGAATGGGAGTGGTCGAAAGATTCGGGGTGAGTCGTCTGTAGAGATGAAGGCCATTTAACATTTGGAAGCAGAAGAGACAAGCATAGCCGTGATGCTTTAATAATGTCAGAGCAGATAAACCATTAAGTATATGCTAGAAAGCTTTGTGTGAAAAGTTTAGGGTGTTCTGTTGTATGCTGTAGGCTTCCCCAAGCTGTGGGGGAAACTTCCCCCATTATGGTGAGAGAAGCATGAAAGTTGACTAATACTTACATTTTATTTCCCAGAATGCCTTCCCAGTTTCTGGACAGCTGTATACTGTCCATCTGCTGTCTCTGGAAGCATTGCTGACAGTTATAGATAGCACTGAGGCACATTGCCAGGACAAAGTGCTGAGTAACATACATCAACAAGAGAAGGAAGTTGTCAAATCCAGCCCAGAAACCGTGAACAGCACCAAAGAAACAAGCAATAGTAAGGCCCCTTTCTTTGATATTTTGATATTAAGCTTAGTCTTGTGCTAAACTTGCAGATCTCATTTTGGTAGCTGACATAGTAAGCTCCTTAAATACATGTTTTTAGTCTTCCTGTTGCTGTTAACCTTGCTATTTGTAAAATTTACAGATATTAAAATGTGCCCCTCATGTGAAGCTTTATATAAAGGCCAAATCAAGACTGGCAGTCACAACAGAAGGAGAGTATGCCTTGGAATTCATGTAGACAAAATACTGAGGGTACTGAGGAACCGCAGTTACTGGGGCGAACCTCCTTTGAATAAGCACATGTTCAGTTTAGAGTGATCAGTTTGTTATTTCTCTGTTGTTAGCTTTTTCCTTATCTTATAGTTTTGTTTATGTATGGGTTTTGGGTTTTTTGTTTGGTGGTGGTGGTGGTTGTTGTTGTTTTTTTAACTTTTACAGATAATGAGAGAGTACTCAGTGAGGGAAAATCTTCCAGTGCAGCCTCAGAGCCAGCTGGGGCATGTTCTCCCACCAGTGGGTGCCTTCTGGCTGACCAGATGAAGGAGGGCTGCATGGAATTGGAAGGAGGAAGTGAGGCAGGTAATAATCTCCGTGGTACCCTGACACTGTGAGTGTGTATATGCTGAGAATGGTCCTGACATTTGCTGACTGGTCCTGCTATACTATAGACCACTGTAGCTATTGTGTGTTCAAAATTAGGAGGAGGTATGTGGTGAATATTTGTTTATTATATGTGTGCTATATATGCCTACTAACTGTTGCATTTCTTCTGGGAGGGGGTTAGGTCTGGTGGGTCACTTTGGGGCAAAAGTGTGTGAAATTCATACCAGTGCTTAGTATTTTTAAGGTAGTCAAGGGCTCTCCAGGGGATCAGTAATGTAGGTAGTTAAAATAGCCAGAAAATTAAATCTTGTGGATGTGTGAAATTGTCCAGGACAGGAACCTACTATGCAATTACACTGAAGAAAATGTGGGTGGGAGGAATGTAGTGATTGAATAGTAGGAGTGTGACTGCCATTTGCAGGGCAGCACACTGCAGCAAGACTCCATGACTGAAAGTTATGATGGGACGCTATAGTGGGCTGAGTGCCACTCTGGGGATAGGTTTGACTGTAATGACACTTTGTCCTTCTAGCTGAGAAGAATATCCCCAGGAAGCCTACTCGATTTTCCTGTGTCCTTCCAAGCCCTCAGGAACTTATGCAGATTAAAAACAAAAAGAAGGTATGATTTGGAATATACTACAAATGGATCTTTGAGTGTTCTCCTTGTTTCCCATCCCATGTGGGCTTTGCATGACTGGTCATATCTCAGAAATTTACCGTTCTAGTCTCTGCTGATAAGAACTAAATAGTCACTGAAAATCCTGCTACACAGCAATGATTATTATCTGTTCTGGTTTAGTTGTGCTAAAAGTTGCAAGAAGTTGGGGAAATTTTGTGGCACAATTTGTAAGTTGGTCCATCGATTTCTGCGTGGGAAAGTTCCTGGATCTAGTTTGTGTTATATGGAGATAATCAGGCACTTTCAGCAGAAAGGGCAGGTTCTCTACTCTTATCGAAGCTGAAAATGGGGAGCGTACCAAGAGGCCCATAGTAGAAATTAACAGTCTGGCCTGCTATTCTGATTTGTTTATTCCCATGTTTGCTTTATCATAAGGATGACTGAAAAGATTGTCCTGATAGTGGCAAAGCCATTCTCTGTCTAGATGTCTGTTTCTTTGAACCGCATTAATCCAAGTTACAGTCTAAACTTTGTACAGCTTTTCCATTCCCTCAGTGTTTCTAGTCTAGGTCTAGTGTTCACAAAGGTGCTCCACGCTGATGGCTTTGTATTTATCTGCTGTCTTGTGTCAAACATCAAGTACTGGCCTGCTTGTTCACCTCCAGAGACAGCAGATGAATATGATATCTAAAGTCCCTATGGGTTACATGGGACTAGTTTTTTTGTTTGGGGTTTGTGTTTGTTTTTTCATTCACAGATGTTCTTTGTACATATTTTGTTTTCTTTGCACAATATATACATGAGGTAGGTAGGTAGGTTATTTAGGAAGTGAGAGATTACTAAATTTCAATATGAAAATTACACATATTCGGGATGAAACATGAGTGGCCATAGTAGTTGTGGGGTAAGGAGCCAGATGATATAGTGGAAAAAGAAATTAATGTCTTTGAACGATTCATTGGTGGTAAAGAGAGAGGTTTTTGATTTTGTACCTGCCTGAAAGGCTTCTGACCTCTCTCTAGCGAAGGTGTTTTTATTTTACATTGTTATAAGGGAGTGGTGGTCATACTTGTTTAAACAAAAATACCGAAGAAAGTACAACAGATCTCTTTCTACTGCCTATTTGCCACATGCAAATCTGTGCTTTGCAATCCACCCTGTCAGTCTGTGGATCTGAATGTAATTTAAGGCATTGGTTTCTCTCTAGGAAGTCTGCTGCAGTACTTAGGAACTTGGTTCTTTACCTACAACGTAGTGCTGCAGTGGGAAAATGCTGACTGGCTTCCTGAGCCACAAGGACAGTGGGAGGAAGCGATTGTCAGCACAATCTTCAAAGGAACCACCGAGTTTTTGGCATTAGCTAATTTCTAAGAAATGAATATTGATTTAGTTACCGTTTCATTTATAACCCTTTGCTTTGCATTAAATCTAGCTTTCATGGCAGCTTTGCTGATGGACTTTGTGTGAAAGTCCATTGTTGAGAAGGGAGCTTGCATAGTGCTTCCACTGTTCTAACTGAAAACCTCTGATAATACTTCAGCTTTCCTGTGCTGGAAAACAAGGTTAGAAGAAATCAAGAGCATTGCCAGTGGCTGAGAGTTCCTTAAAGAAAGTTCCAGGTGGTCCTAGAAAAAGGGCAGTGCCTTACGCTACAGCAGAAGGCAGAAAGATGTTCATAAATCTCTGTTAGTTTGCCCAGGGAAAATCCTTTCCTGACCCTAAATCTGCTAATGGTTTCATCCTGAGCATGTAAACAGGGAACACAAAACATTCAGCTTAAGTAATGTTGATGCTGACATGGCACCAGCACGTTCTGCTTCCTTTGACCTCTGAGGTACTAAACATTACCACAGCTGGAAGGAGGAAAAAAGCTAAATAAAAGCAGAAAACAAATTATGCATCAGATGGAAAGTTTTCTTTGATGTTTCCAAAGGCAATGATCAGAAGCTCAGAAGCATAGGACTGACATGATTATAAATGCAGTGCAAACTGCCAGTAGTCTGGTCTCCTTTCAGGTGGTCTTAAGAAGTATAACCAGTCCATAGAATACCCTAGGGCTTGGGTTACAGGATTTACAGCTGAACAGAAATGCTGCTAGTGTCATACAATCTCTTCCAGCCTGTTATACCAGGGCAGCACGTGGTTATTATTTCATTATGCCCTCACTGGGTCCTTGTGTGCTCCATGCTATTTCAGGGTCTGTGTTTCACTGCAATTTGAGCATGTTCACACAGGCAGGAGAAGCAGAGAACAGAGGGCTGGTGGCTTCTGAGGTACTGAGAAACCCAGGGGAGCTAGTAATCATGATGGTCACGAATTTAGTTCACTGGGTCATTGCTAGCAGTTTGATCGTGATAGGAGCTAACAGGGAACTGACATTTATTCTGGTGCCTTAGTAAAGTTCATACAGTTGTTTGTGCTTTTGGTTTTTCTGAACACCACCAAGAACATTCAGTTAACCCTTTCTTAGTCAGGTGTTTTATTACACTATGACTGTGGTACAGTCTAGTTTCCTAAAATAAGAATCAAGCAGGGCAGAGTAGTTGACTTCCCTTCAAAACCAAAAATGCACCTGCTCTTCCCAGCCTGCAGATAGCCTTGTCATGCTGCAATACCAGGTGTTCCTGGGACCATGTCTCACTAGCAGAATGTTTTCTGGTTCTTAGTTTAATCTTTTGCAGCACTTCTTCCTTGCACCTGCTGAATAAGTGCCAAGGATTCTTGCTGCTTGTCTCCTGGCAGTGAGGTAGAGTACGAGAGCCTGGAGCCAAAGGGGACAGAAGAGGGCATGGCGCAGTGCTGCTGTTGTAACTGGGTAGAGTTGATCTTGCCACATGTCTGGGGTTCATCAGGGACCTTTCTCTGCTCTGTTTACATACTAGAGGAGGTGAAGCATTTGGGGTAGCCGAGCTAATTGCTCGGTGAAATGTCAAAGCTTTTCAAAGACAGCAGCTCATGCTTGCTCTGTCCAGTATTATTTGATGGTGAATCCTTGTGATGAATGCAGGTTTTCTGGCCTTGGCTAGCCTTCTTGTTGGATTACACAGTACAATAAACTTGATCATGCTGAGGTTGATCTGTTTTCTACTTTGCTTTTGGTTCAAATGCCAAGAACAGTCTGAAGTAAGAAATGCACTTCAAGCTTGTAATTCATCAGAATGTCTCCTTCAGCTCCTGATAACCGGCACAGAGCAGTTCAACCAAAAGCCAAAGAAAGGGGTACAGTTTCTGCAGGAAAAGAACCTCCTTGCAACCCCCATCAACAACAATGAGGTGGCCAGGTGGCTACGGGAAAATCCTCGCCTGGACAAAAAGATGATTGGGGAATTTGTGAGTGACCGTAAGAACATAGACTTGCTGGAAAGCTTTGTTGGGTGAGTATCTTTCTGTATCTCTTTAATTGGAAAGGGGTGAAAGTTAAGAGTTCAGTGATAAAAAGAGCAGTAGAACAGTAGTTCCTGGAGGTGTTGGATTTGTATTGCTTGGTTCTCTGTGTACCACCATGCCTTAATTCTATGCATCTCTTGCATATGTAACAACGTAGATACATGTAATAGTTAGATACTCAAGCTCATTTCAGTAGGGCCAGTCTCTGTGAAGACTGGAGAGATGATTACATACATAATCACTTGTAGGATTGTTGACTCTCTTTTATTGTTTTTTGCCTGTTCATGGTATATTTCTTCTGTCCTCACCCTCCCCTCTTTACTGTCTGTTCTCTCTGAAATCTGATATTCTGATGCTGAAACAAATAAGATTGTAGTCAGTAAGTTTCTCCTACATTTCTCATCCTGTTTCAGTTTCTCATTGCATTTCATTCTTCTTGCAGGACTTTCAGCTTCCAAGGTTTAAGGCTGGATGAAGCTTTACGACTTTATTTAGAGGCCTTCAGATTACCAGGAGAGGCGCCTGTAATCCAGAGACTGTTGGAAGCCTTCACAGAACATTGGAGGGTGTGTACCTGGTGGGCAGAAAGCTCAAAACTGCGTTCTTTCTTGTGCATCTGCTTGCTGTGATGGACATGTCAGATCAAACTGCCTATATAAGCTTACTGTGCCCTGCAGGCAGCAGCTGTTGTTTTGTAGGAGATGGCAGTGGCACATAGATTTCCGGGGTGCTTTTTGGAAGCTGGAGCCAGAGCCTGAGGTTTTTGTTTGTCCCAGAGATGATTCAGTACTGTGGGTAGGAAAATGGCTGTCTTGGGTCACTGATATCGCTGTTCCTGTAGGACTAATTTGTGCATACGTTTGCCTTCCAGAAATCAAATGGGTCCCCGTTTGCTAATAGTGATGCCTGCTTTGCCCTGGCCTATGCAGTTATTATGCTGAACACTGACCAGCACAACCATAATGTCCGCAAGCAGAATGTCCCAATGACTCTGGAGGTGGGTGTTACCAGTGTAGGCACCTGTCTTCTCTGGTTTTGATAGCAATGTAGTACCTGTTTTTTTAATCTCGATTGCATTCTCTTTTTTCCCTGGCATTCATCACTCATGTGCACAATAAGCTGGTGTGCAGCACTGAAGTTGAGTACAGTTGGAGAGGGGAGCTGTAGGCAAGGGGCAGTCTGAAGAAATACGAGCTTAGCAGACAACTTACCAAGTTTGTCAAGAGGCTTGTGTGTGTGTGAGCAAACTGTATCCTAAGACATAGTAAGAATGAGAAGATTGTTGAACTGCTGTGGGCTTCTAGAGAGTTCAAGTCCTGTGAGTGTCAATGCAGTGGTACAGACCTGTCATGGCGTCCAGCCTCAGATAAGCATGTGTTATATTGTGTCTGCTCTTTCCTTGTGAGCAGACAGGGGTGGCTGCACGCTACTACCACTAAGAATAGCATTTAGTCTTTGAACTTTGAGGCTGCACGTTGAAGAACACAGGAAAACCTCCTTCTGGTCCCATGAAAAACAAGTGGAGTACTGATCCTAGCCAAGCAGTTAAAGCTGGAGATACTAGGAATTAACATTGGTGTAACTTTTTTTCAGGAGTTTCGGAAGAACCTGAAAGGTGTGAATGGAGGCAAAGACTTTGAACAGGACATATTGGAAGACATGTACCATGCCATCAAGTAAGAATCAACCTGTTATCTCCTTGTATGCAGAGAGCAAACTAGAGTTGTTTGGTCTGTGAGACCTCCAGAGAGTATGGAGAGAGGAGACTCACCGATAATGTGCCTGTTTGCCTCAGACCAACTTCTAGCTCCATGTGGGGCTGTGGTAATCAAGCCTGTCACAGTGATTGCCCTGGATTTGTATCTTTGGATTCTTGCCATGGTTTTTTAATCCACAGAGCTTAAGCTAAAGTTAAGAAATACATTACTTCTGTCAATGTGCAAAAGAATGGTTGAGCAAGACCAGCACATGTGAAATGCTGTATCTGAGAAGGCTCTGTTCTCCAGACCATGCCTTTAGACTTCTTTAGAACTTTCTATGTAGTGCTAGAGGTAGTATCTCATCCCCAGGACAGCACTGGTGCCCTGACGTAACATGTCCAAATCTCCGTTTCATATGTTCTGCTTTTGAGCTCTTCATATGAGGCTGCTGTCTGCACCAATCTCTTCTGCCACCCTTGAAGCTCTTGGCACACCGACCAGTATTTGAGGAGAATTCCCGGTGGCTGAGGCCCTTTTGTGCACAGACTAGCTCTGGGTGGGGAGCATTAATAATAGCTCAGAAATCTAGCCTATCAGTAAATCCAGGCCCAGCCAATTTGAAGCTGAGAGGATTACATCTCTCAGGAGACAGGATGTGACTCTGACTCTCAGCTGGTTTCAATCTGCAGTGGCTCGGGCTGGAAGCAGGGCAGTGTAATTAGGCTGACCCTCCCTTTGGAGCCTTCTCCGGGAAGGTGGGGATGCTGCCTGTACTGAATATCTCGAAATTCTTCAAGAGGTAGCTCTAGCTTTCAAAAAGAGCTCTAGTTTTCATTGGCCTCTCTCCCCTGAGGGTGTTCTTAATGTTTTGAGTAGTTCCCTGAGAATATCCTCATATCTTTCAGTTATCTAGTGCCTCTGTCCCAGTCTATCCCCCTTTATCCTCCCTTCACCAGACACTTTAGCTTTTTCAGTATGGCTAAAACAATTGGTGTATCATTTCAGTATTGCTCCATCTCAGATAGATTGCCCCGCTGTCATAGTTGAGATTGAGGAACTGTTTGTTTTCTTTGTATTATTAGGGGCAAAAAAAAAAATCAGACTTTAATTCTGTACAGAGTAGTGCATGATCTTTTCGGGTTCTCGGCTTTTCATTTTTGCAGATTGAGGAACTGTTTGTTTTCTTTGTATTATTAGGGGCAAAAAAAAAAATCAGACTGTAATCTGTACAGAGTAGTGCATGATCTCTTCAGGATCTCAGCATTTCACTTTTGAGCACAATTTCATTTCCTGAGACTTTCCAAGTAAACCCATTCACTTGCTTCTGTTAATAGGAATCAAATATGGGTTCTTAGAAAAAATACGCTATTGGCTGCAAACATATTTTCCTATATAATCTCAGTAATGATTGCTCTTGTCAAAATACGCAGGCACCTGAAACTGAGAAGAGCTTATTTCTTATGCATAAATCAAGAGGGTTTTTTATAGTTGTTGTTAGCACATTAAAATTGCTTCTTTGGCAACTGAAGCATGTTATTTTTTGGTTGTTGCAGAAAGACCTCTACTTTTCAGATTAGCTGCAATCTACTATTCTTGGTAGACTTGAGACTCTTGTTCAATTAGTTGGTCATTTGCAGAGGGTTATCTCTTGTGCAATGTTACCCAAGTCCAGGGAGTATGTATTTAGGCTTGATACATTTTAACCTGGGATTGCAAGTACTACTTGGCGTTAATTGTAATTGTTTTATTATTGTATAGCTTTAATCCAGTTAGAGTAAGGAGCTGTGGTACCCTAATTATGAATCACCCATCATACATTTGGTTTCTTGTTTTGTCTTTAATTTTGTGCTACTTGGCTTTCTGATATTTGATCTTGGCATAATATGAATATTTGCATTATTCTTATACAGAGGTACTCGTGCCTACTGTTGACTGCAGTGATATAACCATTTAATTTTTTTTTTTTTATCTGGGAGTAATGAGATATGCAGAGCACTCTAATGGGGTGAGAGTTGGGATGGGGGGGGTGAAGCTGTGCCAGTGTGCGGTCCAAAATTTCCCACCATTTAACTGCAGTGTGTGTTACGTTTTGCACTTGTAGTGTTAGGTAGCTCCTTCTTCAATACTATCCTTACACGGTTGCTGCTGGGTGCTGCTGAGAGCCACCGGACTTTATATCCAGGATGTCAAAGAGGGGCAGGGGAAGCAGGCAGGCCTAGGAAAATAGAATGTTTCAGGAGCTGACAAAATCACTCCAGAGTAGGTATCGCTTAGCTTTGGGACCATGTAATGAAAGGCACTGTGTAAATGTTAGGTTTGGCTCAGAATGAAAAATTCAACCTTTCTGCCTTCCTCCCTTGTAGAAATGATGAGATAGTGATGCCAGAAGAACAGACGGGCCTGGTGAAGGAAAACTATATCTGGAATGTCCTGCTACATCGTGGTGCCACTGATGAGGGAATATTTCTCCATGTGCCTCCTGGAAGCTATGACCATGATCTTTTCACCATGACGTGGGGGCCAACCATAGCAGCACTTTCTTATGTTTTTGACAAGAGCTTAGAAGAAACAATCATCCAGAAGGCTATCTCTGGTTTCAGGTAACTCTTGCATTCGTGAAGACCCAGAAGAGTTAAAGTGTGGCCATTGTCTCCTGTTTACCTGCTAGAGACGCCACAGTGAAAATCAACTGTTACTTTTCCTAGCAGCTGAAGAGCATTTTATTGTGACGTACGGTCCTCTAGTTTTGTTCTGTCATTTGTATTGATTCATCCCATCTTGGCCTCTCTTGGTTGCCGCTCACTGTTTGGCTTGACTGCTGTGTTGTAATAAATCAAAGTGCCTGGGGTATGTATTTTTAAACTCCAACCCGGTTACATTTAAAAGACATAGCTGTGCTGTTTAGAAGTGAGGGGAAAAAGTGACTCTTAACTTGCACAGTGGTGCTGGCAAAATCCCTGTATATGAAGAAAACCTCTCATGTGTATGAGGCCATAGCTGTGGCTGAACGGGATGGGGGATTTTTTTCTTTTTTTCTTTCCCGGATGACCAGTATTCAAAAAACTTGCTATTTGTGAGAAACTGTATTGGAACGATCTTTGGTCATGCTTAGATCCAGACCAAATGATGCCTTAAGCATAGTTTTAAAGCTCTGTTAATATACTGCTGTAGCCATGATCTCTTGGAAACTAGACCTTCAACACTATCGCCAATCTCAGCAACTCGCTCTTATGTCAAGACAGGAGATTAGGTATATTGGCACAGGTGCAAGTGGTCTGTCTGTTTAGACTCACTTCTTGAAAGTGATCCTTGCATCAGCACAGACAACTATCAGGGTCTATGGATGAGGACTGAGATTATTTGTGGGATAATAGCAGACTTCTATGCATCAGCATTCATTATGAGTGGGTGGAGAGGAAGGTCTAAAATGTCAACAGAGAGGCTCTCTGATTTGCTGTCCTGTAGACAGACCTGTCTGTGCTGACTTAATACATTATTTTCTGTTTTCTTCTTTCCCCAGGAAATGTGCCATGATTTCTGCTCACTATGGCCTTAGTGATGTGTTTGACAATCTCATAATTTCTCTCTGCAAGTTTACAGCCCTCAGCAGCGAGGTAAGTTTGCAAGGAGGGGAAAGAAGCATGGCTTTTAGTATATCAGAGCTCTCTTCCTCTGTTAAGCAGTAATATTTGCTTATTTTAGTTATCATGGTATCTGTAGATATCTATCGGTCCCTGCCCAGAGTTTTCTGGAGGAGGCAATTAAAAGTGTGTAGTGAAGTAGGAATTCGATAGGACAGGTTCAAATATGCAAGTTTCCTTCTACTCACCCACAAGTGGCAGCTTGTGCAGAGCAGAATGCTATGACATAAAAATGTTCATTCCACCTACTTGATCTAAAGAGACTTGGACGATCGCTGTCTTGATCACAGGGAGACTTATGATCCCAAGCAAGTTTCTGCATTTCAGCTATTGAATATTTAGTTATAGAGCTTATGCGGTGCCAAGAGGGATTGTTTTGTGAGCTGTTTTTCCAAAGTGTAGGGGCTGTGCATCCACCCAGCATAAAGGGGTTAGAAAAACAAATGCTTTGAATTGTCGGTTTGTGTTTGGAGTCTGGTAATATGATCGGCTGTCAGCCCCGCATTTGGCAAGCCCTAAAGACTGTTTCCATGGATTGTACTGTGAGAATAAATTCAAGGTACAGTAGTTGGTGTTAGCTTTTTTTGCCCAAATCTGTTTGTGTGTTACAGCATCAGCCTGTTTCTCCCCAAGGTGTTTGATAGACAGTGTGTGGCAGACCATGCTTTGTGCTAAGGAGAAGACGACAGCAACTCCTTTAAAGGGTCAGAACTCACAAAGAATCTCACAGCATTGCTCTGAGAACCAGTGCAAGACCCACAGTGAGCAGAATAGAATTGCCACACATATAAAAGTACCAGGTTGACTATTAAAAGACCAAGAAATCCCAAGCGGTGGGGTTGCTTTAGATTCCCTCTTCCTCCGCAGCTCACAACAGTAAAGATGAAATACTTGATCCTCTCCAGGCATACCAGACCTTGAGACTACCAATAGATAACAGAAGCAGAGGAATGTCTGCCATGAAACAACTGTTTGACACAGATTAACACAGTAGAAGCAACCAGACTAAGCCCTCAGAGGCACCAGCTATTGCCAGCTGCATCCCATCTAGTTGTGAGACTGGAATCTGGAGCAGTCCGAGGTCTGTGTAAATTAAGCAAGCATGTCTTTTGGTGATGACGTAGAATCAGGGACTTCTGGATTTGAAGAAGGCTGTGGCTTCTTATCTTTGGCCAGATTCCAAGTACACCAATTACTTTCTGCTGTCCTAAATTCCTGTAAGGCTTGGAGACAGTAGTGGAATATGACAACTGAACAAATATTTGAGAGACAGTCTGGTGGAAGGGGGGAGAGGAGGGGCTGTCTTCAGGGGCTGAGGAGACAAAACAAAGAGCAACTGTTAGAAAGCAAGGGAAGAACACCAAAGTGTCATATAGCTGCTGTAGTCACTTCCCAGGTCAGATCATCCTGGTGACCAGGCATCCCCTCCAAGCACTGCAATTGCTATGCATGGCCCCTTTGGTTAAAAGAAGAGGAATGGAATGGAATGGAATGGAACATGGAGGGGGATTAAGTGATTTAAGAAGAACGAGTGCCCCACTTCTTGATACACAGTTAAGACTCATACTGACTCAGTGTATAAGTAGTAGCAAAACCCCTGTGTGTCTTAATTCGGTGGTTGTGGCTTGTTGCCACACTGCAAAATCAGGCATACTGCTGTCTGCACTCTGAGAGCTTTGGTGATGTATGTATTCATGTGGTTTCCCCATAGCAACAATGGAAAAAACAAATTGGTTGTCACATTTCTGCCAGACTTCCGGATTGGCACTTCTAATGGGGTTCACCTGTAGATCAAAGACCCATTTTGATAATAGTTTTGTCCGCAGTCTGGCTGAAGCAAGAGCTAGTTTTTCTGAACTTCAGGTCTGAGATTGGAAGAGCCACATTTTCAATCCATCCTATCTCCTGTCTTCTCTCTCCTTTCTTGATGAAGGAGTAAGTATGGGTTTTGTCCACATAAGCAAGAGAATGGCAAAGCCCATCTCTTGTCAAAAGGAACATTGCTATGAGCTTAAGTAACTGCAGAAACATGGAGCATGTTACAGTGCCTGATACTAGCTCACATGGTTGCTGGGTTTTTTCTTGTTTTGGCAGCATATACTTGGTTGGTTTAAATGACTTAGCACACTTTTTGTATTTTGAAAAGCTGTGAGTGCGTTAACAGATTATGAGGAATTGTGATCCAGCCATTACTGGCAGAGACTGTATGTTAGGGTTCATCACTCTTACTTTGAATCTTGCTGTTAAGTAGCGGCAGGAGTAGCTCTGCAAGTCAGTAATGCTTTTTGCCATAGTTTCGTTCTCTAACACTAAAGCGGAGTATTTGCTGCTTCCAGAGGAGATGTGGTACTTTTTGAAGGCGGCTTTGATCCTGGAATGAGTTCCCATAGCAGACTAAATTAGTGTTAGTGAGTTTTCAGCAAGCACTTTCAAAATGGTGCTGTATTGTTATCCTTCTTGGAGAGCTTATGTCTAGGTGGCTCAGTGATTCAGCTTGTATCAGGTAAGCTGTCTTGTCCTTGTTTTTGTGCAAAGTGAATATGAGCTGAGGGGTTATCCAAGCGTCGTACACGGAATTTTTGTCTTTCCCGTAACCAGTTCTGAACAGTCTGCCCTAATTTGTGTTGAAAAGAAAACATCTCTTGCTAACTGATCGCCACCCCCTCTTCTTTCCTGCAGTCTATTGAGAACCTGCCCACTGTTTTTGGAAGTAATCCCAAGGCCCATATTGCAGCAAAGACTGTGTTTCACTTGGCCCATCGCCATGGTGACATTCTGCGGGAGGGCTGGAAAAACATCATGGAGGCCATGCTACAGCTTTTCCGAGCAGAGCTGCTGCCCAAGGCCATGGTGGAGGTAATAATAGCCAGCCCGTGGGTAACTGAAGAGTAGGGAAGTGGGAAGATGGCTTTTCATAGAACCAGTTCAAAGAGGAGGAGAGCTTTCTTGCAAAGGCCTGGCTTTGGTAAAGTGTGTACAGAGCTAGAAAGCCTTCAAAGGGTGTAGTATGAGTTATGTGCAGGCTCCAGCTTCTTTCATAGGGTTTAATTTTTTTCTCGTTTTACTTTTTGTTGGATTTGAGAAATAAATTTTACTTGAACAGATTTTGAATATTGCTAGATGGGGGTGACACTTTACTGAAGGGGTGAGGGGGTGAAGAGCTGGGGTTGACTGCATACACATGGGTGGTTTGGTGTAGCGTTTCATCACTAAGTGAAACGTTATGGGGTTGGGGGGGAAGGCTACCAATAAGTAGACAATTGATCTTATACATGTTCTGGTCTGTCTGCCAGGTCGAGGACTTTGTGGATCCTAATGGCAAAATCTATCTGCAACGTGAGGAGACACCATCTAACCGGTGAGTGGTGTCGATGGCCCAGGCAGTCCTTTTTGTACTAAAGCTGGAAAATAATATGATTTCTTGTTTTCTCACTGATGCTGGTGTCTTCTGATTTGCAGTGGTGAATCTACAGTGCTGAGTTTTGTTAGTTGGCTCACCCTCAGTGGGACAGAGCAATCTGGTATGAGAGGGCCTTCTACAGAGACACAGGAAGCAAAGCGAACGGCTCTGGAATGCATAAAGGTAATATACAGGCTGTAAAAGAACCTGCTTTTGTTCGTGGTGATAGTACTATGTGGATAACAGGCAACAGAAGCATAAATATGCATGCTTCTAGGCAGTATTGCAGGTTCCAGAGGACTTGGGAATTGGAAGAAACTACAGAGGAGCGTATCTGCATTGACAGCTAAAGGGTCTTATGTGCTGTTACTACATTTGTGCGTAACACTTGAAAACAGGAACGATTCCCCACAAGAGGCTGGCATCTGCCCTTGGCATCACAGTCCTATAATTGAAGACAAATTAATAAATTCTTAAATGACTAATCTTTTCCAAGACAGTGTTAAGGTGTATGGTGCCAACAAAATCTGAACCTGGGGTTTGAGCAGTGTGTGGACAGAGGAGTTACCTGTTAAAATCTGTCTAGCACAGATCAAGTCTGTTAAAGGTAATTGATGTTAAAGGAGCGAACTAGCTGGCAGGAGTTTTCCTCCAGGTAATTCTGTTAAAGCTACTATCTCTGTCTTTCCTGGGAATAAGCTGTGTTTCTGGAGGATCTGTTTGTATGCCTTCCCCATCCCCCAGATGCACAGCCCTCTCTTCTGTCTTTTGCAGCAATGTGATCCTGAGAAGTTGATCACAGAAAGCAAATTCCTCCAACTTGAATCCCTTCAGGAGCTCATGAAGGTGAGAGAGATATTGGGCAAGGGATTGGACTGGTGATGGAACAAGTATGCTATGCATGATCATGGATATGTGCTATGTATTCGCCTAGCTCCCCTGTCCCCAGAGGAGGTCTTGGACCTATTTGGGATATGAAACTAGTCATTAGTTCAGCTGTTACATGTAACTTCTGTGCTGGCAGCCACAATTGCTTTAGTAGTAGAGGAAGACATTAAATTGTGGAATGCATTCTAAAAGCCTTGAGGAGGTCATGTTAAGTGTTTGAAAATATGTGTAGCTCTGCGTAGGAGCTTAAGGTTATGCTTTTTCATCTTTTTTGGTATGCTGTGTGCCTAATGAGAACATTCTAGAAGACCACTTTAGAGGGAGGAGCTGTACAGAAATATTTGACTGTGTGCCCCTAGGTAGTGTGGTACCTGGCTGCTGTGGGAGACGTGATAAGGCTGGACTCACTAGCCTTTGGGCTACAGAAGCTCATCTCCCTGGGGGAGGGTAGTTACTTACCTGGTTCTGGTAGTGGCTTCTCAGGCTAGTGTGGAGTTTGAGACCGCTCCAGGGTGTGGAACAAATCTGGCTGCTGCTCACCACTTCCAAAAGCAAATAGTGCAGTGCAGCCCTTGTAGGGATGCTGTGTGGTCTGGCAGTGTGTGTTGCCTAATTCCATGGCTCCTTAAAGTGCAAGCGCCTTTCCCTTCAGGCTGCTGTAATTGCAATTCACTGGCTTCATCAATAGGGTGCATGACACTATTGAGACTTATGCTAAAACAAAGGAAAGGTTTATTTATCAAGGCTTGCTGCAGAGGTTCAGAAGAATAAGTATTGAGTTTCAAAATAAAGATAAGTGAGTAAACCCCAAAGAACAATACTTAAAACAGCTAAAGCAGAACTTGCTGTTTGGATCACACAAAGACCACTATGTTGCTGGCCCACGTGGAGAAGTGGTGACTCAGTTTTTGTGTGCCATGTCAGTTCTGGGGGAACATTTTGCTCTGACCCCTATTATGTCAGAAATTCTCCCTTAATATGCAAGCTGATGGCTCGAGAGGAATAATTCCAGTATTTGTAATAATTTCTAGGTATAGCTGCCTTTTCTGTGCTTCACGTATTCTTGGCAAGAAGCTGCTGGCTTTCAGAATTCCTCTCCATCTGAGAGACTTCGTCAGGGTTTAACATCCTTTAAGTTCATCTTGCATAATAAAAAAAATACAATTTTCCATATATTTAGCTTGATCTCTATCCAGTGCATTTTTGATAGACTATGCATGACCTCACCAGACAGTGGAGTGCAGTTTGCCCAGACTCAAAGCATTCTGTTGGTCCTCACTTGCTGGTCCCCCAGTTTTGGGGGCTTGTGATTCACAAATGTTTCCTGGCTTTTCTAGGCTCTAATTTCTGTGACTCCTGATGAGGAGACATATGATGAAGAGGATGCTGCCTTCTGCTTGGAGATGCTTCTGAGGATTGTACTAGAGAATAGGTATGACCTTGAAATACCTGCAGATTCACTGTAAATGTCCCTGCTTCACTGCAGCTGCTGCCTGGGTCCAGGGAATGAGTTCCTTATGTGCTTGATTTGCCAGCTGAAGCAGCATGCGGCTGTAATTTCAGGGCTTAGCAATTCCACTCTAGCATGTGCAAACAGAGGGGCTATGAGTTATTGCTTGATATCCTGAGATTTGGAGAACGTAAACTAAACTGTGGAGGGAGAATTCTCCCACCTGATTGCTTTGCAAGTAATCAAGTAAGTAAGAATTTTGACGGCTTTGTTGTTTCTGTGTGTCTGTTCTTATATCTCCCGGCTGGAGTCTTTCATTGAAATGAAGAAATACTGGGTTGTCTGGAGTTCTGGGAGAGGTAGCTGGACCCCGCTTGTCTCATCTCCTTTCATCCTACCCTTTCCCTCCTCCTTGTTGTGGCTAGGGACCGTGTGACCTGTGTCTGGCAAACTGTCCGAGACCACCTCTACCATCTCTGTGTCCATGCGATGGAGTTCTGCTTCTTGGTGGAGAGGGCAGTGGTGGGGCTGCTGAGACTGGCAATTCGGCTCCTTCGTCGGGAAGAAATCAGCGCGCAGGTAAGGGATTTTTGAAAGTCAGTTACTGAGTTTTGTGGCTACACCTGGCAAAACAGGAAACCAATTGCTGTTGGATGGACCCACATTTAACCTATCTGTGCTGCAGGTAACAACAAACAGCAGTTGCAAGTAGCTCTAAATAAATGAACGGGGACTTTGCTGGAGAATGGAGTGTAAATAATAGAGGCTGTTATTCTTGTCTCCTTCTCTGGCCAGGTTCTCCTCTCGTTACGTATTCTGCTCATGATGAAGCCAAATGTGCTGTGCAGAGTTAGCCATGAGGTTGCCTACGGCCTCCATGAACTCCTGAAGACCAATGCTGCCAACATTCACTCCGGGGATGACTGGTACACGCTCTTCACCCTCCTGGAGTGTATTGGGTCTGGGGTGAAGCCGCCTGCAGCCCTGCAGGTTACAGCAAGGGCAGATAACGACACAGGTAAGACGGGCCAGCTTTTGCTAGGAAATCTGATGCCTGCCTGCCAGATAAGCAGCTGCTTCCTCAAGCTTTTCAATTAGCAAAGGGGACTGCAAGAAAACAAAGCTGATATTAAACTACATTAGCAAGATTAAAGACCAGCACCTGCTGTTCGCTCCTACCCCATGGTCTGTCCCTGTCTCTGCTCTGCCATCTCTTCCTACTCAGTGAGCAGCAGTCCAGGTGCTAGTCCCTGGGGGAGCAGTGGGAGGAAAATTGATATCGGTTGTAGCAGCTGTAGAAGGTCTTTGCTCTACCCAAGGAGCATTTTCTGCTGGTTGTGGTCTGGTGCCTTGGGTAATATAGCCTTAATCTCTCATCTGGGTGTGTAATGTAAACCCAGCTGTTGTTCCTGTCATACTTGCTTCTTTTGTGGGACTGACTCCTTTCTGTCCCCGTTTTAAGGATCTCGTAAAGGAAGTTGTTCTTTAAAATTCTATTTCCAAATCCATTTGTGTTCAGAGTGTCTGAACCATTCCCACAAGACCAACCCACTATTTCCCACTTCTCTTGACTGTGTTAGAAAGACAGTCTTTTTCAGCAAACTGTTCCTGTTTTGCTTTAGCCAGCTGGCAGTGTATTTGAGGCTGACAGCTTCAGACTTTCAAAGCAAACAGCAAGAAAAGACTTTTCCAGAAGCTTTCATTTTCTTCTTTGCTTTTCTAGAAGTTCCTTGCTAGGTCCTGATGCTTTGCGCTAGACAGATGGGAGAAACCTGATTTTGCAAAACCCCTATGGCCTTTGCCTTCTGGGCTAATGCTGGGCTCTCTTCTTTTTTTTTTTTTTTTTTTTTTTTTTTTTTTTTTTTTTTTTTTTTTTTTTTTTTTTTTTTTTTTTTTTTTTTTACTGCTTCTGTCTTTGCTGATTGAGCAAACTACTTGACTGTAGCATCTTGCACATCAGAACATTAGTTCTCTTTACCTCCTTCTGAAAATGTTTGGTGCACTGTGTTCACAGCAAGTCTGTCTCTCTGCTGGTGAGTTTCTAGATAATGTTGAATGATGGAGAGAATGAATTTTTGCTTCTAAATAACATGATATCAGTAGCTTAAATCTGGCCCTTGCAAAGATTTCTGTGCTTGCGACGTGTGAAATTTTAAGGTTATCCTAAAGGTCAGGGAAGGTAGATCTGACAGGTGTGGAACATGCTAATGTAGATTGCTGTTCATGAGAGACTTTACCAGTATTATTTAGAGCTAAGTGACCCCAGAGGCCCTACGTGAGTCATGTCATTCCGTGTTGTGCTTTTGGAGTTGTCTTGGCTGAACCTAGCACCTCCAGTAGTTCTTAAAGTGTGTAGTACGTCTGATTCTTCCCTCAAGGTCAAAGCATTGGACTTCCTGCCCTCTTTAAATCCACGGTCAGGCTGACAAGTGATGTAGCAGAGGATGGAAAGCCCCTTCCCTCTGAAGGGTAAAGCCAAACGTAGCTACAGGGGAGAAACAGTGTCAAAGATCTGTGTTTCCTGCTGTCTCCTGTGCATGCTCCTGTTATAGTTGTTCTTCCTCTCACAGGAGGAGAGGCCTGGCCCAGCTTCTTCCAGGGCCCACTGGTGGTTCCTAACTGATGTTGATCTGACTAATCTGGATTGCTTCTCCCTTATCCACAGCTGCTCTTCCAAGTTCTTGATTTGGCTTTGATCTAAAACCCATGCCTTTTGTCTTGAAGGTGCTCAGTCAGACAGTGAGGTCTCCTCCTCCTGTCATCCAAGTGACATGAGCCTGGACCGTGGCTACACCTCTGATTCGGAGGTGTACACAGACCATGGGAAGCCAGGCAAGATGCATCGCTCGGTGACAGATGTGGATGTCATGAACAGTGGCTGGCTAGTGGTGAGTAGCCAATGGGCTCCTGGTGCCTGAAGAAGACTACTTCTAGCATGGTTGTGGGCAGAGGGTGTGGTAGGGAGAGAAAGAATAAGGCAGTAGAAAAGAGAGCTAAGATGAGCTGACAGTGTAAAGGGAGGATGTGGGGAGGAGATGCAGATGGAGCGGAGAAAGCTTGGAGGCAAATGAGGAAGGGAAATGGATCCTACAAAAACATTACCTGTTAGCTTCAGAAGAAAGGCCCTTTCAGCGTGTGCATGAGGTGCTGCTGTTATGCTACCCTCTCCTGCTACCCTCTTGCTGTGCCCTGCAGGTGGGGAAAGATGACATCGACACCTCCAGATCCACTGCTGGGCTCAGCAGGCTGGGGCCATCTCCTCTTGTCAACCAGTACAGCCTGACTGTGGGGCTGGATTTGGGCCCACATGACACAAAGTCTCTCATGAAGTGTGTGGAGTCCCTGTCCTTCATCGTGCGAGATGCTGCCCACGTTACACCTGAGAACTTTGAGCTCTGTGTCAAAACCATCCGCATCTTTGTGGAGGCGAGCTTGAATGGGGGTAAGATGGCCCTCGGTTTGACAATCAGGATTGGGCTTGGGGTGGCCTGTCAGCAAGGATTGTAAAGTATACTGTCAGAGAACGGGTCCCCCACCCCCAGAAAATGATCTGCTGTGAGAAAAGTGTCCTGGCTTCTGCTGGCGGCAGGGACCTTATTCTTATCCCTCTCTCTGGGTTGGAGGGGAGGTGTGGAGCTGATGTGGAGCTAGCAGTATCAGCTGTTGCTGAATGCTGTTCCTGACGGGTGCTGGGTACCTCTTCAAGTGGGTAGTTGTCATTTCACAGGACAGGGCCCTCCGCTGGGGATATCAAAAGGTGGCTGCTGTGTGTGTTGAAAGGCAGAAAATTTTGTGGGGTAGTGTGTGTACGGTATGTTGCTGCCTTTCACTTCCTAGGCTACAAGTCCCAGGAGAAGAGAGGGAAGAGCCACAGGTATGACAGTAAATCCAGTCGGTTAAAAAAAAAGCCGAAGGAGAGCTCCACACGGCGATCACGGGTCTTGAGCCAGCACCAGGCGCACACACACAGTGATGAGGACGAGGATGAGAGCATCCCTGCCAGCTACCACACTGTGTCTTTACAGGTTAGTCAGGACGTAAGTATAGCAAGGATTTCCTCCTCTCCTTTCCCAATCTCAGGGCCTTGCTAGGGAGTCACTGGGATTCTTCATGGGGTGAGGGGGGGCTGCATCCTGGGTTAGTGGGCACTGGATGGCAGAGGGTGGCTCTGCTGGCAGTGGGTGGTTCTGCAGTGAAAGAGGAAGACTGCAATTTGGACAGGCAAAAGCAGAATAGCAGTGAAGAGAGAAGTCCTCTGAAAAAGCGAGGAGGGTGGCGGGGTCTGGAGCTGTGAGTCACTATAGTAGGTAAGATGGATGTGGATCAAGGGCATTTGGAGGCATGAGGTTCATGTAGGATTAGTGAGGAGTCTGACAGGGCATCTGAGCTTGCAGAGAGGGGAAAGCCCTGTGGGCTGAGGCACTGGGATTTCAAGTACAGAGGACTGGGATGAGGGAGTCATTTCTCTCTCCAGCTGGTACTTCAAAGGTGCAAAGGCACAGGCCTGCTGACTGCCAGGCTGTTGGGCCTCAGTTCAGCAGTAAAGTGACTAGAGTGCTGTCATTTGCCCATATGGAGCTGTTCTGAGGGAGCTTTGCTTGTGCTTCATGCTTTTTTTGTTTTTTAAAAAAAAAAAAAAAAGTTGCAGAGAGTTGTCCCTGGACAGCATAGCTGAATCACTGGGTTTCTCCCTCTGCCTGGGAGAGTCAATGCTCTGTGCCAGGAAAGGCTCCATTCTTTCTCCTGGCAGGATTGGGATGCTGTTCCTCGAAGACGGGATTGATGTGGCTACTGAACTGACACCAATCTTGCTGAAGATGCCTGGCACTTGACCACTTAGGGAGGGCACAGACAGCAGGGCCTGACAGCGTCTCCATAGCTGTACATGGTTATGTACATACAGGAAGCAGGCTTGAGTAGCTGTGAGCCTTTGAGCATTGGTTTGGGGAAGAGCAAAGACCAGGGGTGCTTCAAAAATTTAAGTGCTGTGTGTTGCTTAATGTGATGCTTGACTTGCAGCTCCTGGACCTCATGCACACCTTGCACACACGAGCGGCCACCATCTACAGCTCCTGGGCAGAGGAGCAACGCCATCTAGAGACAGCAGGGAGGAAAATCGAAGCAGATTCCCGAACACTGTGGTCCAACTGCTGGTGCCCTTTGCTACAGGGTAAAGCCATCCCCTTGTGACGAGAGTGAGCAGAGACACTTCCAAAATAATGGCAGCACTGAGGAAAGTTGAGGAGCCAAGAACTAACTGCAGAAAGCAGGCGGAGGTTGTTTCTAGGGTCTGCTGTAATTGAAAAAGGACTGGGATCAGATCCGGAAAGGTATCTTTAGCATGAGTTAGCTGCCAGCTTGCTTCTGGACCTGACAGTAGATTCCCAGTCTGTGGCCTGGAACAAGTGTAATCCTTTTTCTTTTTTTTTCTTTTCTTCCCCCCCCCCCAGTGTTTGATCTTCACTAGACTTTTCACCCTAGGCTGGGGAAGTAGGGATGTGACACTTTCCCTGTGGGCTTTGCCCTGAATCCCTCTCTTGCAGGTATTGCCTGGCTGTGCTGTGATGCCCGACGCCAGGTACGGATGCAGGCACTCACTTACTTGCAGCGGGCCCTCCTGGTACATGACCTTCAGGCCCTGGATGCCCTGGAATGGGAGTCCTGCTTCAACAAGGTAACGTCCTGGCTGGGCTGGGCATGTAGGCAGGAAGCATTGTCTGGAAGAGCAAAGCTGTCTGTGGGAGTGGCAGAATGGTGTCCTACTTTAGCACCATCTTCTTGAGCAGCTTGTTCACCACAACAGATGAGGCATTCCCTACTCTCATCCTGTGAAAAGTTCTTCTGTGCTTAGGCTTCTGATGGAGCCTCTTGGAGTATTGAAATGAATCCACTCATTTCCACTTCCCATTGCTTCTCCCATGCTCTCTGCCTAGAAGCCACCAGCCCCAAAAGCCGGCTCCTTCCTGTAAGGCTGTCTATGCAAATATCATCAGTCCTTTTTTAGCTCTGAAATATCAATGTGTCTGATCCAACAGGTGCTGTTCCCTCTGCTAACCAAGCTACTCGAGAACATCAGCCCAGCTGACATTGGTGGGATGGAAGAAACTAGGATGAGAGCCTCAACACTACTCTCGAAGGTGAGCATGCTTCTGCTGCCTGAAAGCTCAGGGGAAACCATCTGCCTCGAGAAAACCAAACTGTTTGCTGTATTAGCTTCTCAGCATCTCTGATCTGGATAGGTGTCAGTTTGCTGATTTGACTGTCTTCAGTGCTGGGCTTCTCCACCACCTTCTGCTGTTGGGACATGCCTTCTTTCCAGAACTGTCTCCATGATCCTGGCTTTCGGGAAAAGTTGTCAGGAAGGAGTTTGTGACTTTAGGAAGGATGGAGAGAGAAGTATTTCACCCGACATTAGTTGAAGACAGTCTGTTCTAGTGGTGAAATGACACGTCACAAGCTGATAGTACTGACCTAAGGCAGAGAGCCTGGAAGGGCTGGAAGACATGGTGATGCAGACTGCAGTGGCCTCATGCAAAGGAGACAAGATCCACTCCTCTACATATGCAGCTCAGAAGAGTGGAGGCCTCTGGCGTCCTCAGGCTGGGCCTGTGCATGCTCCTAGCCTGCCACAAGGAGGAGGAATTCCAGATTTGCAAGACTGGCTTATCAAGCTATGAGCAACAGCCCTGATACTACTTGTTGACAGTAGTTGTGTTTTTTTTCTAGGTGTTCCTACAGCATCTCTCCCCATTGCTCTCGCTGACCACCTTTGCTGCCCTGTGGCTGACAATCCTGGACTTCATGGACAAATACATGCATGCTGGCTCCAGTGACTTACTGGTAAGGTGCTGAAAGTGATGCTGCAGTGCTTTGAACAACCATTCATCAGTTTTGACCTTCTAAACTTGAAAGGTGTTTTGGGTTTGGTGTTTTGTTTTTTTTTTAACCTCTTAATCTTTCCAAAACCATTTTGTTTCATGGTCTCTCCCCTTGGCTTCTGTTTCCAAGGCACCCCATCAGCTGTTTTGAGCTTTTGTTCATTGCTATATGTCCATTCTCTGTGTCCTGAGGAGTCTCTCTGATTACAGCTGGAGGCCATACCAGAGTCTCTGAAGAATATGCTGCTTGTAATGGATACGGCTGGGATATTCCACAGTGCTGACTCACGGACGGGATACTCGGATCTCTGGGAGATCACCTGGGAGCGGATTGACTGTTTCTTACCTAGGCTGCGGGATGAGCTCTTCAAACAGACAGTCATCCAAGGTACGAGGGGCTGAGAAACCTTAAGAAAACAGGTCTTGGACCCAGTGCTTGCACCTTGTCCAGTACCCAGCTGCCATACTGCCTGGATGCTGATGAAATTATAGTTGCAGGAGGCTGTGGGAGCTTGGCACAAGGAGGGCAAACTGAGGGCGGGCAAAAGGAGAGAGCAAACTGGTGTGTGGGCTCACTGCTTGTTTTGTTTCCCTAGATCCTGTCCCTAGCATACCAATGGAGCTGCAGCATCAGAAATCAATAGTGTCTGCCCTGCCCCCTTCTTCTGCAGGGGATGTGAGACCAGCCACCCACCTGGCTCCTTTGGAGAAGCCCGGTGAACTGGGTGCCAGTGGTGAGTCCTGTATCCTTCTTCCTGGAATCATCTTCCCAGCACGGTGGCATGGATCTGCTTTTCCTTGGTTTAGCGTGATCTGCAGTGACTAGGCCTCTGGTGTTGTGGAACTGTTGTGCTTCCAAATGGATAGGTTGTGGCCTTCTTGCTGAGGTTATTGGGGTGGGCAGAGGTTGGGGCAGAATGCCTGGGGCAGGTGCCTTCAGCACCTGTTCCTCAGGGCCTCATATGAAGGTATGTGGAAGGGACAAGTCTGAAAAGGCCCCTGAGTTGATCTTCAGCCTTGATTAGCTTTGAGCTGAAAGGTGACTTTGTCAGGGCTTGTATAAGGATGTATTTTGTCTCTTCCTTTTTCCAGAGTCTGAGAGAGCCACTGCACCTGCCTCACCCACCATCAGCACCTCTGCCTCTCCTTCTTTCCCAGCATCAGCTCCAACAAAGACAAGCCCCGTTACAGACATACCTCCTACGACAGCACAGCCGCCACTCATCCTGCAGCCTCTTGCCTCTCCCCTGCAGGTTGGGGTGCCGCCTATGACTCTTCCAATCATTCTCAACCCAGCCCTAATTGAAGCCACCTCTCCTGTTCCCCTCTTAGCTACTCCACGGCCCACTGACCCCATGACAACCTCTGAAGTCAATTAATTCGAGGGTGTCTGAGACCTGTCTGCTGAGGAAGCTCTGTGGGTGGAGGATGCTGGCCAAATGTTCTCTGGCAGCGGGCATGTTTGTTTTAGAAGATGATGCTAACCTGAGCAGAAGGGCTGCTGCCACAATCCCTTTGGAGCACATCACATTCTGCTCCCCTCTTGTGGCAACCACCTAGAAATCCGCCTAGAAATCCCTGTCGCCTTGGAGGGGTGCCCAGTTTCACTGACCAGTCTCCTTCCCGCCTTCACAATCTCAGGGGCCAGGCAACGCCCACGCCCAGCAGCCTGGGACCAAGCTGCCACCAGTTCATCTGGTGAAGAGGGGAAACTCCCTGATGTCACACCAGAGAGGGGCTGCAGTACAGAACTGCCCCTCAGATTATTCAGTCCTGGACAATTCCCCAGCCATTCCCTAGCTTTCCTGCCCATGCTTCTGGTCGCATTGCTTTGTTTGGGCTCTGGGCATGCCG